TTTCAAGTCGTCAATGCGGGATATTGGGAAAAGTTTTCAACTAGCAATAACCACGCCTCGGTTAGACCTCATCGGCTATGGTACTACCACTGCGCAAAGCTGATTACCCCACCATCATTTTCAAATGAATATACCTCAACAGAACACAGTGCAACTCATTGCAAACGTTTTCTCAACATCTCTTCAAAGCTCACACGTCAACATAGACATATATCCATCTTTACCACGGAGTTAGGAATACAACTTCAAGGCTCGGCGTTCCACCCCATCTGCGGTGATGCCCGCAGAATATTGCCATGGCAACGGTCAGTTACAACCTTACAGCCACGATGTGTCCCAAACATCCTGGACAAAACCTCCACATGGCCCCTGGCAGCATCTGATGATCATCTCTTTGGTAAAGGCTTCCGTGCCAGTGAGTAGCTCGACAAAGTTTGGATTCGAAAGGCTTTCGTTTGGTCAACTGCACACATGATGGTGTTCGTGAATTGGATTGTTTGTCTCATCAAAGTCAACTCACAACTGAACATTTGCGATGTGATGAACGACATGCGACACCTGCGACAAGCTGCAACTGTGACACATGACTTACGATTGTTTTGGCACCTGCAACCTCTAAAAGCAGTGCATAGCACATGCACGCGCAGAGCACATGCATCCAGCCTCGTGAACATATTTTTTAACAGTAAGTAGTCCATTGATGTACGTCACGCGTCGCAATTAAATTGAATGTTCGTCAATTTATGTGACAATGGCCTTGCGATTACTTGCGACAGGCATTTCCTTGTCACAAGTGTTCTCATGTCGTATGTCGCACCAAATGGGCCTTTTATTGTTAGGTCAGAGGCATAGATAGTGTATGTGTATTATCAACAGTGTTTCTGGAAAGTGAAGCCAAAGTTCCTGATAGAAACAGTCAGTCACAGCCATTTCCACTGGTGCTTCTTTCAGTACTCGAGTATGGGAGTAACTCATTTGCTCATTGCTTGTCAGTAACTCTTCATGACCGTCTAGTCCGTCTTAGTAATAGAGCTCTACGCATTGTGTTCAGTATGCCTCGCTTTTCTGACGTATCCCTTGTTAATGCACGCCATCACATTCTCCCTTTGTCTGTGCGCTATCAGTTCAAACTCTATATCTTAGTGTTTCGTGTCCTGAATCAGTTAACTACTACTCTCCTTACTGATTGCTTTTGCCTTCGTTCTACTTCTACTCGTACCAATTCCTGCACTCGCTCCCAGGTATCTTCGTCTGTCACTCTACCAAAAGCTAAAACTCGTTTCGGTCTCTTTTCAGTTTCTTTCATCGGTTCCGACCGTTGGAATGCACTCCCCGCTGCAGTCCGCTTATGCTCTTCACTGCACCTATTCCGTAATTCAGTCCTTTCATTTCTAGGGTACCCTGTAAGAAGGCCTTAGGCCTGTGGGGATTGCCCTATCAAAAATTTGATAATAATAATAATAATAAATAATTCTTTCATTTACTTACAAGTGCAGGGGCTGCGCGAACGCAAACCCCCACTACCATAAATTGTGCACCCGAGTTTCCCACGTTTGGGGAAATCGCAAGCCTCAGCCCCAACTGAGTGCAATGGAGGGGCCTCATCCTGAGGGAGCCGCCTTCTTGATCACGGCGTCCCCTGTGCCAGGTAAGTATGACTTTACACTTCTTTCCTACTACAGCTAAGAACTGCTACCTACTACAGTGGCAATCATTATGACACCACTCTCTTAGTCGCATTCTCCTCTTCTGCCTATCGCACGCATATGGGTCAAAGGAGCCTAGCGGCAACTGTACGACCAGTCAATATCTCACTTAGGCAACGCGCCTTTCCCTTATACCTTCAACATATCCTTTGAACTTGCACTGTCTGTCTCCATGGTAACAAAACTTCTACAGTACAGGCATTTGAATTATTGTTCTGGACCCAGGTTTGAAAATCCCCGAATGACCAGACTGAACACATAACAGACATGTAAACAGATAGCTGGAATTTTAATGAATTCTTCATTCACGATCCACTCACCGCAAAACTGCGAAACTACAGTGCTTTTCAAAAATATAGATGGGTGATTTTTTTAAACGTTAGGCCAGCATCTTTACCACATAAAATCTGTGACGACTTTGTGCACAAATATTTCGAAATTGGGCATTTGTTATCTGATCGTTTAAAAAGAGTGATTGGGGGAAGGATCTGAGCAATATTACAAAAAATTCTCAGAAAGCTCAAGCAAAATTCGAAAAGTTTCCAAAAATACCAGGCGTCTATATAATTTAAATGCACTGTAAGATACACGAGGCGTTGCAACCCGGGTTGAGTTTGACCTGGGTCAAGTTTCACCCTGCCACTGATGAACACAGATTGACTGGCGAGTTCGCATGATGCATTGCATGTGATTTTAGCCCTCCCCTGGGGGGGAGTTTGAGGATCGAAATCGAGAAATTGTACTACTGTGCTTCTGTACCAGCGCAAGATTTGAACAGCTCTCTCTCTCTCTCTCTCTGTCATCCCGTACTATTTTTATTTCTGGGCCCACGGATTCGCACAACCGAACATGCCCTGTTCCTCCTGTGGGGCAAGCTAGTTCTTTGAAAACGGCACGGACAAAGCCATGCGACAGTTATACTTAATTTTGAACACAAAACAGTCTTCCTCTTTCATTTTTGTAATTTATTGAGCCCTGCTCAATGAGCAAGGGCTAAAGAAAAATTCATTTGAAGACTCCTTCAATGTCCACCTCCACGGAAATCTTTAGTAAAAGGCGAAAGATTTATTCGTGGTTGAAGGTAAACCAGAGTATGAATTTCTCAAGGTTCCAGACAAGCCATTTATTACATGCTGTTCTTTAGGGCCAGTAGTTTCGGAATAGGCTTGGCCCCACTATCCCACTACACTAAATAGTCTAGTCATATTTATCTCTCTATCTCTGAAGTGCGAGTCACCAAATCTTATACTACGGCCACATCCCTGCCGGCTAGTAACACGTTTCTATGACAACTGCCGATTACCCTCCCAAGATAGGACATCACTATATACAATCCTGACTTCAGCCAACTCAAGTATTGATCAGCAAGGCATGATTCTAATACTATTGACGACAGGAATCTAGAGCCCAAAGGCAACTGCAATTGTACCGTAAAGTACCGTTGATCCCCCCCCCCCCCCCCCCCCCACACCATGTCGCTTCCCAGCTGGGTTTTCGGCAGGGGGCGGGAATTAGATCAAGGCTGTCAAGTGCAGTACGATGTACAACAATGTAGAAGTTCAGACTCGATGTCCTGGATTGTGCACATTTTCATCCTGGATTGGCAAGTATTGTGTACAGCAGTGCATGCGTCGGTTCAACATCGTATTTTCGTTGTATATGCCGAAGTCGCTTCACAGGTAGAAAATCGACAGGGGGCGGAATTAGAGAGGGGGCAGAATTAGAGAGGGGGCGGAATTAGAGAGGGGGCGGAATTAGAGAGGGGGCGGATCAACGATACTTTACGGTACATGTATGTCCCATCAAGTTCAGCACCTGCAAGGCTACTTCAACAGAAATTGCATCTTCTGCAACAAGCCCTTAATTCTTCAAACCCTGTGGTGGTTTCAGTATAGTCACTTTTCTCGGTGTAGCATCCTCAGTGTCGATATGAAGACACTCTACACTGCAGCTGTGGATAAACCACACATTATACATGTACAGCCGTGGCCAATGAAATCTGACCCGCAAGTCAAAAGCAGCGCCAAATTTTCATGTCAATAACATCGTGCGCGGCCGAAAAACCCATCCGAAGGTCGCAGAACGCGGTCGCATGAGCCTTGGTACACGGGTTGCATTTCTTTGGCCTCACGTGTACGTGGTAACCATGTGTGCAGACCATTCTGCTATACAAAGCACGTGCAGAAGAATATCTCGCCTCTTAGCATTCTACTGGAGCTGCAGAGCATCCACCAGTCAATCCTCGGTAGTATAGTGGTAAGTATCTCCGCCTGTCACGCGGAAGACCCGGGTTCGATTCCCGGCCGGGGAGGACATTTCTTTTTTTTTTGTCGCACGTCATTTTTACACCATACATATTCAAACTCTATTTACTATCACAGCCAGCCTCTGCCGTGGACCATCGAAATGCGATTTTCCACCAGAGCTGCTCCTAAACAATTTGGACGGGCTCAGCATCAAATGTTTTTGAAGTTCCGCGTACCTCATTCCTTCGGGGTTAAGAGTAAATGTTTTGAAAAGTGTGTTGCGCAATCTTGAGATCAGCATATCCAACACCCATGCTCATTGCCTACCTCCTCTATAAGTTATACGACTACATCATCAGTTGAGATGCTTTGGCAAAGTCGAGACACGGCGATGCACTAGCGACTCAATAGCGACTCTCATTTGGATACATAGCGGCCATGAGCGGTTCCGCTGCATACTTCATTTACACGGTACGCGGAGCAAAACGTAAAAGTTGTACACCAAAACGGAAGAAAACCAAAACGCTGGCCAAGGTGGAAGAATTTGAAAACGGAAATGTTCTGCCGGATAAATTTGGGTGTGTAAACAGTCGAAACGGTGTGCTGGCCTCGTTTTCCGTCACGTTTGTTTCGTTTTCGGCCGTTTACACGGATGCGACAATCCAAAAAATTGTTTTTACAATTTTCGTCATGTGACGCGTGTTGTCGTGTGCCTGTTTTCAACCATTACTTGAGTGTGATTGGTGCTTCCACGGCAACACTTGGCACATGACGAACTTTGGCGGATCCTTTGCTCTCGTGTAGACGCTTGAAAACGATACAAACGGAGACCACCTCGGATCGGCTTTGATCGTGTAAACGTACGAAAACGAAAAAAGAAATGCGGGACTGAAAACGGAAAACTGGCCGTGCGTTGTCGTGTGAACGCAGCCTCAGTGTGCGTACATGTAAGTGGTCCCGGGATTCCGCTGACTCATCATTGCGACTTCTTTCGCATAACCTGTATACGTAGAGGCCATGATAGCTTGCAAGACTTCATTGCACCTACCTTGGTCTCCCCGGCAACAAGCACATCGGAAGTATTGGTCTGATGGCGGCTGCTGACAATGTTGCTGCAGTCGGACAAGTCGCAGGTCACGGAGACACTGTCGCTGCCCTGTACAACACACACACACGCACACGCACACACACACACACACACACACACACACACACACACACACACCTCAGACCTCAGACCTGCCCATCGCAGAAGCAATGATAGCGAACAGCTATGTTCGACATAGCAACTAGTGCTGGGATTACACCATTCAACAGCTTGCAAGGCTGATGAATTGACAGCCACTAATTTTTTAGCCTGGTATCCACCACACAGCTGATTGAAGTGGTTTTTTCTGGCCAGTGAATCCCTATTTTTCATTTTTTCATTTTTCATTTTTTCTTCACTTTTTTCTTTTTTTTCGACACACACACACCACACCACATACTCCGGCATACACTGGCGCATGGCTGTTGGTAACCACCCAGGAGAATGAAAGAAGAGCTAGGAGAAGGAGAAAGAGAAGAAAGACGTGTGCGACCATAATCGTCGGGAATTGAACCCGCAACCTTTCGATTGGAAATCGACTGCACATACCACTGCACCATATAGGACACACACACACACACACACACACACACACACACACACACACACACACACACACACACACACATACACACACACTCACACACACACACGTCGATACACACCCTTTATAAAACAGCCACCAAAGCACCTTCACACTAGAGACTCAAAATGAAGACCATCTGAACCATTACAGCATAGAACACACACACCACCAAAACCACCGCCACGCTACATATCTACCACACAAAACCGACTCACAATCACCACCATCACACACCACTGATGCATATACACCACTGATGCATATACACCCCCATAAAAACACACACTGCTACTACACACTACGCACACAAACTTTATATTTCTCCACAGCTATATCCGTCAGTCTAGCTCACCCTGTTCCAAGCCACGATCGTTTCACAGTGCCCGACTCCCCACGGCAAGGAATACACCTCCAATGCGCCAGTCGTGGAAGAGTCTGCCGTGTCGTCGGACAGCTGCAGTTTGTCACCATGACGACACGCGGCGTACTCCAGTGCTCCGTCGGCTATGGTTGGATCTGGCGTGAGTTCGTAGACGGACACCGATGCCTCGTCATCACTACTCATGTTCACCTCACAAGAGAATGGCCAGGCCTAGAGATAGCGGCAAGCAGAGGAAACAGAGGCAACACAATCAAGCAAACATACAGAGAGACAGATAGACACACAGACAGGTTTTTCATGGAGGTTTCTGCTGTGCAACTTACATCTTCCTTTGCCTATGGTAGGGGGGCAAGCAGTACCAGACAAGTACATGCATGCACCAGTGCATGTGCAGCCAACACCTGTGTGGTTAGGAGGCCCTATTTAGTTTGCACCAGGCTCTTAACAGCCACAACTGCAGTGGTCTTCTGGGACAGGTGGTCGCCTTATCCGAGCGGTCGCCTTGACAGGTTCTACTGTAGTATAATGCACCTTGACTCTTTGGTGATATCAGGACTTGAAGTTATTATCCCCGGGGAAAGCTCACCTCCACCAGCTCCAGTTTTCTATTGTACCCCATTGCGTCAATGATACGCCAGGACTCCAGATTGTTGCTGTCAACCGTATCGCGTAGAATTGCCATCTGCAGCTGCAGAAATCCGTTCAGGGTCAGTTCTCCGGAGGGATTCGTGGTGAAGTTATCTGTAGGGCAAACAAAACCACACACATAGCCACACACATAACCACACACATATACATGTATATAGTACATGTATATTATGCTATTATGGGGTACAGTGTGGTGTCTTCGGGGGGGGGGGGGGGGGGAGGGGGGGGGGGGAGGGCACTGTATGTGTGGTGTCTTCGGGGGGGGGGGGAGCACTGTATGTGTGGTGTCTTCGGGGGGGGGGGGGGGGAGCACTGTATGTGTGGTGTCTTCGGGGGGGGGGGGGGGGAGGGGGGAGGGGGATGGGGGAGGGGCACTGTACGTGTGGTGTCTGCGGGGGGGGGGGGGGGTATGTGTGCAGCCTGCCGAACACAGGAACACTTCTATAATTGGTGCATCCACGTTTTCACAACATGTTTGCACTATACATCACGCATGCAGCTCTAGGCTATTCAGTCCAAAAATGACATTTGAAGATGAACAGCACCACACGGCACTCTCAACAGACACTAGGGAGGTTTAGCTACCAGGCCTGGATTCGCGTACATGAGTGACTCACGTCTGCAATCTTGTTATTGGCTACACGGATTCAAAGTACACACGTATATCAAACAGACAGTGATCTCTTCTCACCTATGATGACCTGCCAGTCTTCGTCTCCAAGACTGTCCTCCCCGCAGCGCTCATGAAAATATGTGTACTCGTCCCGATCCAACCCACCGCTTCCGTCCAAGTCATGGCGGCGAAATACTTCCTCAAACGCTGCTCTGTAATGTCGTAATTGTGGAATGCGCAGACAATAGAGTATGGCGAGTGGGTAGGTTCAGGAGAAATGAAACTGAAGAACTTATCAATCCACAGAAACACGGCATACCCCCTCCGGTCCTTTGTGTTGTATTATGTTGTAAAAAGACATTAGAGCGTACAAACACACACACACACACACACACACACACACACACACACACACACACACACACACACAGACATACACACACACACACACATACACACACACACACACACACACACCACAGTCTTTTGAATCGGTCCCCTCGCTTAGGAAAAGAAGAGGCAGGGGTATGAGGTTGCTCGCCTTAGCCCTGATCTTCTGATGTTCATCAAAGCAAATCAACATTCATCATGGCCAGCAATCGAGGACATCTGAGAGTTGTAATTTTTGTACTCCTCCGAGGTGTGATTTTTGGCATGCTGGGCCAAGCACAAGGAAGCCATCTGCAAAAAAACTGCAGAAAATGGTTGTTGTCTGATCCTTTGTTGTAATCTTTGTTTCTAGTCGAAGCTAGTTGCTGTTTGGAGCAGAAACGCTGAAATTGACTATTTTCTGCATGTACTCATACATGTACTCATGTACTCAGGCATGCAGTCTCACTCGTATTTTAGCTCTTTTTCTGGAATGGATGCTGCTCTGCGCCCCTTGGTGAACATTTCCTGCGCTCGTGGAGCAGCTGAAAAGGACCACTGGTATGTATTGTATTGTATTTATTTAAAAGGATTCTCCAAAAGCAAATGGATGCTTATCACGGAAGTCTCCCACATAAATATCGCAAGAAAAATGGGGAAATGGGGAGAGGAGAGTGGAAGATGAAGCATGGGAAGAAGGGAAACAAGTACCTAAATATCGAGGTATAAAAGCAGGAAAGAAATCGACGAGGGAAGAAATCACCTCTGCAGATAATAGCGGGACATTTAGATGAAAAAACCCAGCAAGGATTAATTTCAAGGAAAAAAAATTCTCAAACGGAAAAGTTCGGAATTCCAGTCAGAGAATATCTATGCTGAGAGTAATGAGCCTTTAGAGCAATGCGAAAATTGACAGAGGACTGAACGCAGCGGATGTGTTCTGGAAGTTTGTTCCATTCCACAGATAAACTGAAGAGAGGGGATTTAATGAAATGGGCGCCAGAACGAGGTAAAACTATAGAGGACGGGTGACGACAACTAAGGGATACATTGAATTTGAAACGAATTAGCAAAGACGGAAACTGGTAAAAGACATGATGAAAATACAGCAAGGACAGAATCTGACGACGCCACTTCAGGGATGACCAGTCACAAGTACGATTAAGAAATGTCTGGTTCCTGGTTTGAAAGTGGAGAGTCGACTTTTGTGCCTTGAAAAAGGAGTAGAGAGCGATAAAGGTACGTCTGTGGCTTATTTTTGAGTGCTCTTCGTACATTTTTGATCGTGATAGAAATTCTCAGACCAAAGTCAGACCAAAGTCAGCGCGATGATGGCCGTACCGTTTTCTTGTGGATTTTTTAGTTGTTTCATCTCGTATCTATGTCAGTATCGTGATGGTGAAGTGGAGAGGGTGATTTTCTTCCTCTAGGCTTCGTTCGGCCGACTTTGCTTCGTCCTCGTTGAAAAGTGATCCTGAAAAAAAGGTCGATTCGCAAAATTATGTTGATTTTGAATGTACATGGTGACATGCGATTGCTGGCTATGTTTGATCTCTCTCTCTCTCTCTCTCTCTCTCTCTCTCTCTCTCTCTCTCTCTCTCTCTCTCTCTCTCTCTCTCTCTCTCTCTCTCTCTCTCTCTCTCTCTCTCTCTCTCTCTCTCTCTCTCTCTCTCTCTCTCTCTCTCTCTCTCTCTCTCTCTCTCTCTCTCTCTCTCTCTCTCTCTCTCTCTCTCTCTCTCTCTCTCTCTCTCTCTCTCTCTCTCTCTCTCTCTCTCTCTCTCTCCTAGGTTCGTCTAGTTTGATATAAAGCTGAGACCCTGGATCGGCAGAACTCTGCAGACCTCACCACCACCACAACCAAAATGGAGAACAAACACACACACACACACACACACACACACACACACACACACACACACACACACACATCGTATTCGCAACATGTCCGCAGCAAAAAGTGCACGCAAGTCATTTGTCCTCCAAAGCAGCATCTTACTTTACACGGGGCAGCATCTTCTCATCGGCCGTCAGCATTTCACCGTTACTCTCCGTGTTCTCTTCATCGATGTTCACCCGGTCCGGGGATGAGAACACTGACTCTAGCTTGGCACAGGATGTGAAGGGTGAGAACACATACTCCCCCGGATCAACATCTGCCACTACGCATACTGCCTGTGTGGAGCACACAACGGACAATCGAAAAAGGATATGTCAATGAAAGCAATCTGGTATACCCGCTTTCTCCGAGCGGTATCGATCAACCAAGCCATACATTGCACTCATTTCCATTCCTTTCTTCCTCATTTTTACTTCCATGCCCGAGCCCGGTGCTCATCGTACAGTCCGTCTTCTCTGTCTTTTCCCTCACTGCTTCCCCCGGTAACAATGTCTTCCCCTCTCCCTAGCCCTTGTTGTCTGAAGTCCGAGCACTGTGAAATACAGTTCTTTTGCACCTCTATACAAACTTCACAGTTCAGGACCACACTTTCTGCAAGTAGTTTCGGCAAGTTTCTCGTCTTTCGAATGGGAGGTATGCATCTAAGATGGCCGTCACCTTTTTGCGGGGCAAGTTACCCCATACTTGGCAGATACAACCCGTTATAGTACATTTATGAGTATGACCTCACAAAGCTCATGACCTTCTATGCAGAGCTGGTATAACAGTGTGTACGGTTGTAGTGGACTTTCCCCGCAAAACCGAATGGCGGGAAATGGATGCATACGTCCCATTTCAAAGACGTCCAAAACATGTACATTTGCAAGACTTCAGGGACAGAGCCTATCGAAGTCAACACTAACACACAATGAAAGCATCGTAAGTTTGTTTCTGCACTCCAGATTGCCACCTTATGGTCATACGGTCAACAAATGCACGTTTGCCATTGGTCTAAAGTTCTTTTTCCTCCAATTTGTCGTCACGGTGACCGGGAAATCATTAATGACCAACGTACAAGTTATCCAATTGAATTCGTTATATGCGAGGAATGCTGCAGGATTTTCAGAAACATCGGCAGAAAAGTGACCGTGATGACCGACTGTCAGACCAGAGCCGTCAGACCAAGGTGATCGAACTTTCAATCATAAAATTAATGAGCGGAGAGCAAAGCCGGGGTATTTAGTTATAGCAAAGAAACGTGAGTCTGACCAAAAGAAGTGTTCGGCAGCACCATGGCCATTCCATAGAAAGATTTTTTAACAGTACAAAAGGTGTGGATTTTCGGGTCATGATGTAAAAGTCTACAGCATAACATGTGTGAGGCTGGAAGCTAATATTAATAAGAATTTAAAAAAGCAATCTTCAACGCTACATCAGTGCACTACAGAGCATGGGTGTGTGTGGGTGGGTGTGTCACATGATGGGTGTGTGTGTGGGTGGGTGCGTGGGTAGGTGTGGGTGGGTGTGGGGTGCTAGAATACCACTTGTGCTATTTCGTCTCGTCAACCTCGTCAGCACCCTCATCCTGCACCTGCGTGATGGTCTTTCGTCTGAACGTGTTGACACGTGTAGCCGTAGCTGTGTGGCGACGGCTAGGACTACCCGACTGACCTCCCCTCACCAACCTCAGCACTTTGGGCAAGAAGAAGACGCCGACAAGCAAGCTGAAAGAGAAGTGAACGTCCAGTGTGTCGAGCAGGTATCGCATGTCCGGCAGCAACGTGAAGACATTACGCACCACCAAGAAGAGAATCTGAACCGCCAGGAAGGCGTACACGCTGACGAAGATCTCCTTGGTCTCGGAGAACTCGTCGACGAGGTTACGCAGCTGAGAGCTGTAGTAAACGGCCGGGAGGACGACGAGCAGCGTGACGATGAGCATGACGTTGTCCACAAAGGATGTCGAGCAGTAGCTGTACTGCAGCGAGGCGGCGGAGGTGCGCGAGTGCTGGACGTACGAGGGCAGTCCACCGGTCCAGAACGAGAGCAAAACGAAGAAGACGGCCGCGATGCCCAGCAGCATCAGAGCCAGGTCGGCGTTGCTCAGCACCTCGCGGCTCCGGCCGCGGAACCGCCGCCCGGAGAAGATCTGATAGAGGCGCCAGGTTTTGACGAGCACGCTGCCGTAGGTGAGCGCGAAGCCCATGAAGTAGCACCAGGGTGCCAGCGCACACTGCAGGTTACTGGGTTGCAGGGCAGAAAAGCCACCGGAGAACGCCGGCATTGACACGCCAAGCAGAGCTAGTATAGCACCGAGCAGCATAATGACGAGGAACGGCCAGCTTGCGGCGCGGAACGAGTGCGAGTGCCGGGATAGCACCACAAACACGATCAGCGCGGCGCACAGAATGATGGCTATGATGTTGAGAGTAGTGAGAAAGGCAACGAGACCCGCGCTGCTCTGGAGCGTGCAGACTTCCTCTCCGCTCGTGCACTCTATGCAGCCTTCAGGGCATGGCACGCAGGAGAACTGCTCGTCCAGGATGCGCCGTATCTCCTCCGTCGTACTCATACATGCCTGACGCGCAGAGCAGCCACACGCACTGGTCGAGCGGACCATATCGGTGGCATCCTCGATATCAACACCATTAAAGTACTGTTCCTCGCCGGGGAGGCTGCCACCGGTGTTGCCACGGCGATAGAAACCCTTCTTACACTGGCACCTGTACGAGCCAAAGTTGAAGCCTAGGCCAGCAAGTGGACGACACTCGGTTGTGGCGGGCTCGCAGAGGTGCGTGTTGCGGAACTTGTCAAAGGCAAGCGATGCGCTGCTTGCACCGCCAGCGTCGTCGCTTTCGCCGCTCGAGACGTTTCCGCATTCGTTCAGGTCCAGGTCTGACAGGTTGATGTCAATGGCGGCCATGCCTACAAACTCAAGCTGGCCGTCGTCACGCGTGCGGATGATTGGTGCCGAGTACGTGATCATCCAGATGAATCCCAGAACACAGTCGTAGTACGGATCCGTCCAGAGCAATGGGCTGTAGGCAATGCTGAAGTCACGCACGCTGCGTGAGCCAACGTCACGGACTGCGGCCGTCACCGGCAGAGACGCATTGCTCAGTTCACGACCGGTGCTCAGTTTTGCGTTGATCTCCTCGACAAACCTGCGAGGAGTTGCAAACCACTCCTCCTCAAGCACTACAAAGCGGCCCGTATTGAGCATAAAATTATTTTCTGTTCTGCTTAGGTTCCTGTAGCGATAGAAGCATTCCGCCTTTTCGTCTGCATCGCTAGGTGCTTGGCATGATCCAGCTGCAAACATGGCTACGTTAGCGCTCAGCGCAGACAGTGTAAGACTGGCCAGGATTGGCTGCCCGCCGGAGAAGGGATTTCCCCCTCTGGCACAGTTGTTGTCGGCCATCAAGTCGGTGATGTTACCGGGCCAGCCGAACGCCTCGAGGAACGAGTCACTCTTGCTGTTGTACATGTCAGAGACTATGCGTGCATTGCGAATAGCAACATCGGCGTAGCCCCGTAGCTTGTCCAGGTCAATGTCAAAGTTGGTAAAGCTGAGTGTAATGCATTCACCTTTTCCCTCTTTCAGCCTCTCTTTCAGGTTCTCCGACTGGCGGAGGAGTGTTTCGACCGAGTGCAGCAGGCTCTTCTTGGTGACACGGTTGGTTAGGTCATCCCGAGAGGACACCTTGCATCCACTCAACATCTCAATACCCTCACAGAATCCTGCAACAATTGCAGCCATCACAATTGCTGTCGGAAACATGCAAACGGGGCACTTCATTTTCGCGCACCAAGCTTCAAGAATATAAACTAAATGCCAGTAGTATCTCTGTTATCGCGGAGGAAACCTATGCAACTATTAGAGGGTAGAACTGCCGAACAAGAAATTTCTCCCTTTTCTTTACCTGCCCACGGTTGCACAACGAAAGATTCTCGGAGCTGTGTACTTCACTCCCGGGTATGCACACTGGCACGTTAAAACACACAAACACACACACACACGTGTGTACCTACAAATCTGTGAAAAGGACCGCATGTTGCGTGAATGCAACCACGAAATGCACGCGAAGACCAATCACAACTGCTCTGGCACAGGCTGGTAACACTCAACACTGTTTACCAACGATGTCAGCAGAGCGGATGCATTGCCTTGCTTCAGCATCGCCACTTCTACGGAAGGGTACACATCCGCTTCATGAGAAGTCCGTACACAGGAAACTCTACAGGGGACATTTCAGCTTGACATCTGCTCGTTTCAGAGCACTCCTTGCTGAATACTAGCTAAGCCTACGACAGTGATCACTTTTTACTGCTGTGACTACGCAAAGTCTGTTTGTGCCGGTCTGCTCACACGTTTAGCAGTGCCCTTACAATGCGGTCTGCAGTCTGCAGGCCTGGCTGGAAGAGTTCCTTCCTGCATGGTTAGAGAGCAGCACACTTCCTTCCACTGCGGAGTGCAGCTGTGACCTTGTCTGTACCAGTAAGCAGCAGCAGCTGAGTCTATGCATGGTTTGCACTACTACAGTCAGACCTCGCTTATCCGGTCCTCTTTTATCCGGATGCCTCGCCAACCGGGAGGAAACCGTTGGTTGCCGATTTACAGCATATGTCATGCATACATACATAATGTGTGTTCGATTATCCGGCTCCCTCGCCTATCCGGATATTTTTGTGGAGAACGGACGCGTGCGGTTAAGCGAGATCTGACTGTATAATGCTGTGCCTGAATTACTGAAAACACAGCTACAGCGTCTACGGAAGTGTCCTCGCAATGGTTATGGTTGTGTGGAGGGTCTAGTCGGCTAAAGAGCGCAGTGGAGTAGAGGTGACTCAACAGCTACAGCGTTCGAATTAATTCTAGCCATTCATTATTCTCAACCTTCACTGATGAGACCCTGGTGGTCGAAACAGCGCTGCTGTATGGAGGAAATTGTATTCGTCAGTATCTACAACTAGTAGTCATGTTGCCGGTGTGAGGAGGTCGGCTGGAGAGCGCGTTTGGTGAAGGTGGAGGAATTGCTGTCTTGATGAACAGGCCGAAAGCTGCTGCTTACCTATTCCGCTACAGGCTGCTGGAGGTAAGTGCAGGGGCATCGGACACGGTACGGTCACTACGGTATTGACCGTACCACCTTTACCCCATAAATCAGTACAATACACTGAGTTGAGCTCGATATTGCCAAACTTTCGTCTCAGCCACCCCCCCCCCCCCCACGAGTAAATCGTACTTCAGATGTCTGACCGTACCACACTGAAATACCTTCCAATTCCCCTGATTTAGTGTCTGATGTTCGCATGGACTGCGCAACTGTGTGATGGTGGAATGACTGCTGTGTGTTGCAGTCTTGAGCAGGGCGTTTCCTTATATAGACGAGGCGCCTCCAAGGCAGTTTGTTCCTGGATACGTCAGTCGCAAAACAGCTGCTTGCCGTTACCGGACGTAAATCATCCACTCAGGAGCTGCCATATGGAGTATGTTATCTACCTCCGAAAACACATGCGGCGGCGGTGTGCATTTCTTAACGAGCCCCAAGCCTTGCACAGCAGTGCTGAACGGGCATGTGTGAAACACTACACGTACATTTGTTCATCTACGTGTATACACATCCTGACTGCACTGCACAACACATCCGCCGAGCAGGTGCACAACACACGCTCGTCCCGAAACAAAAGAAGTGCATGCACAGGCAGCAGACTTCACTCATTCAGCAGTTGGTCAAGTCCTTCTGAAAAGGATTGAAGCCAACTACATGACAGGTGTTAACATAGTGGTGCTCACGAAGTGCTCATTGCTTACATCATCCTGCACTGCATTCGAGATGACAGCTTCCAACAGTTCCGGCGCAGAGTTGATGTCTTCGTCGCTACCGTCCTTACTCGCCGGCTGCTTGATTTTGGCCAACGCAATCCCGACATCAATAGGCTTTGCAGGACCTGAACGTATGGTTACATGCACGCACGTACACATACATAGATAGCACGAGGAATTTACGATGTTTGTTAGGGGTATCAATGCATCATACGTGCTTCCTTGAATGCCTTTGTACAGAAAAAGCGGATTTGCCAACCACAGGTCCAGGGTACGTCTATTGGTGCGTGCGCACTACGCATTGCACAATATAACTAATATGATGTCACCTTGAAATTCTCTCGCGACAGCACCCATAGCGGAGTTGTACACTGGGGGGGGTATGCACTCTTGATATCAGTACTATTATTATTCTTTATTTCCACGATGGCCCATGGCCAATAAGGACGATAATACGCATGGGTATGTGTGTGTCTGTGTGTGTCTGTGTGTGTCTGTGTGTGTATGTGTGTGTGTCTGTGTGTGTCTGTGTGGGTCTGTGTGTGTCTGTGTGTGTCCATGTGTGTCTGTGTGTGTCGGTGTGTGTCTGTGTGTATCTGTGTGTGTCTGTGTGTGTCTGTGTGTGTCTGTGTGTGTCGGTGTGTGTCTGTGTGTGTCTGTGTGTGTCGGTGTGTGTCGGTGTGTGTCTGTGTGTGTCTGTGTGTGTCTGTGTGTGTCTGTGTGTGTCGGTGTGTGTCTGTGTGTGTCTGTGTGTGTCGGTGTGTGTCGGTGTGTGTCTGTGTGTGTCTGTGTGTGTCTGTGTGTGTCTGTGTGTATCTGTGTGCCTATACCTTTCAGCGTGAGCGTTCCAAACAGCCTTGTCTTCTTGGTGACGGTCAGCAGGTACTGGTGTGTGCAGATAGCGCTGGCATCATTAGCAAATATACATCCCTTGAAGGACATACACAGCCAATCCTACAAGAACACACATAGCATGCACAAGAACCTTCTCAGCATGCAGTGATCGAGTGAAGGATGCAACTGAAGACAATGGTGCTTACATAGACCAGCCTGGATGTCCTGTCAGACCTGGTGTATTCGACCCACTCCATCCCCTACTGCACTGAGCATGGCGTGGGTTATCCCCGGCCACCGCTGTGAACATGTTGTGAGGGGGTATCTCCTGCTGCGAAGAATAAGCTGAGTTTCATCCCCTGCCGCTGTGGCAGGGGTACCCCTGCCGTCATAAACATGAGGGGATTTCCCCTGCCGTCAGGGACATGATGGGGGAGGGGGTTAATGGTTTTCACCAGCCGTCAGGAACATGATGGGGGAGGGGGTTATCCCCTGCCTGTATCAGACTCACTGTAACCTACAGTTTACTGCACAAAGCAATCACCAGACAGAACCAGCAAAACAATCATATAGGACAGGGCCGGTAACCAACCTTCAACTCGGAAGTGGATGGAATCTCCGCTGAAGAAAGTGTGCACATGCCCTTCTGCTCTGTTTGCTCGTCTCCTTTCTCGTCATCCTTTGGCTGCCTTCCATCGGCTTGACTGCTCTCTGCAGGCTGTTTCAGTGTTTGGTGGAGTACACAAACACGCAGGTACATGTAAGTGGACACGCCTGGCACATGTACATGAGCTATAGAAACATTCACGCACACACATACATGTGCATACACACATACACACATGCACACACACATACACACATGGATGCACACACACGCACGCACACATACACGCACACATGCACACACACACACACACACACACACACACACACACACACACACACACACACACACACACGCACACACACCACTGATGTGTAGAGATAACCCTGTCATTGCACTCATACTGGTGGGATTTACAAGCCTGAAACTGACACCATAAACACACAATTTTGCTCTAAATATACTTGGCAAGATGTGAGCTGCCATTGTACTCAACATACCTCCCCGGTAGAACTAGGTGTGTCCTCTACCTTGGCATTTTCTTCTTTTTCTTCTTCTTCTTCAGTTTCCTTGGCTTCCACTGCCTCTTTCTCTGCAGCAGGCATGGACGATATGCTTGCCTGTGAGGGTTGTGAGAGCCTTTCAGCGCTATCCTCCTTGTCGTCTTCACCCTGGCCGCTGTCGTCTCCTCCGGTGTTCGCCTGCTCTCTCCTCGTCTCGCCGAGCTGTTCCTGCATCTCGGTGACCAAGAGTTCAAGCTGCTCACTGTCGCTATCTTCATCTACACAGTTTTAAAAAGCAGGGCACATGTTAAAATAACACTCAACTTCCTGGCTTTTATTCAGAACCATGTGCTTAGGATACCGTAGAAGGTTGCCTTTGCATCAAAGTACTCCAAAAATAGGAGATGCTCCACCCTGAACTCTAACATTTTAAAACTTCAGATGTTTACCCAAAAACATGTTACCCTAATGGCCTAAATCAGGGTGCACCTGCCCCCCCCCCCCCCACCCTTAGCAGGAGAAGTATTGGTGGGGTGGGAAGTAAAACCTGTTTTAAACATGACACAAACACACTGCTTTACCATCTGATTAGACAACACTGGCATCTCCCAAGGGCTGCTTAAACAATTTGATGCCATTACAGTCAGTTTGCCAAACTAAGCCATTTGCAACTGAGGAGAACGGCTCCTTTGTACTACTTACTAGTGCTACTTAGCCCTCTGGAAATACTATTTCAAAGTAGCAAATCGATTAGAAACACACACACACCAAACACGCGTGCACACACACGCACACACACTCACTCGGGCGTGCACATTGCATACAAACGTCACCACTCGTACCGCGGTTAGCAGAAGCTTTCCTGGACGGTTGATTTTCATCATCATCTTGTACTTCACTCGCATCCTCTTGCGCCGCCTCAGGCTTGGCTTCCGTAGCCGACTTATTTTCTTCTGGCTGGCCAGGTTGGTCTGGCTCTGCTGCAGGCTGGCTTTCCTTATCCTGCTCTGTGGCAGCTGCTTCAAGGCTGGCAGAGGAGATGACGGCTTGCGGACTTGTCACTATCCTCTTGAGCAGTCGTGTTGTTGCTATCAGGAAGAGGAGGTGGTGTTTCGTCAATGGCGGCTGTAGCCTTGTGGTCCTCCAATTCTGCCGATTTTCCCTTGGTTTGTTCTTCACCAAACAGGATGTCGTCCAGTGCAGCGCTCAAATTGTTCTGGTCGGCAAGCTCATCGACGATGGACTCTTCCGCTGCGTCCTCAATGTCATCCGCTGCTGGCATGGATGTCTTCTCATCTGCTTTGCTTTCTGCACTGCTGATGCTGATGCTGCTGATACTGATGCTGCTGCTGCTGGTGGTTGCTTTCTGCTCTGTCACCTCGTGTGTTGGATCTTTAATGGGTGGTTCGGTGGTTAGACTGTGAACAGAGGCAGTGCTGCTAGAGGCTGGTGCAGGCTGGTCTTGGGTGTTGCTTGGCGTTTCCTCTGGAGCGGGATCAGCACAAGGTTCCGTCGGCATGACAACACTGATCGCAGTTGATTCGGCCGTGACGCTTGGCTCCGCTTCGGTGCGTTTTTCTTCTGCCGGTGTGCTGGCTTCGGATCCAGTTTTCACATCCTTTACCCGCACAGGTACATTGCCTGTGGACATTTAACGACACAGGAAGTAGAGAATACATATCAGTCAACGGGACTGCTGACGCTGTTGTGCTATGTGACATCCCACCCAAAGTGCATATGTAGCGCATTTTTCAGCTTAAATACGGCTTTTATCTGTGGAAGAAATAATCGAAAAATAACCGATAACCAGGGGTGAAACGATTACACCGATTACTCGGAACTTACTCGTTATCTCTGTGATCGCTACCCGTTATGCTGTTATCGAGTATGCACTACTTGTACATGTGCATAGTACATGTGCATTGTACTAGCTAAGTCGCTCTGTTTCCATAGTCAACTCCAGCACGCGTCATCCAGGGTGACAAAATTCACACCTTTTCCTAGTCACCTTCGCACTTTTGGGATCTGGTGTGTACCACCCCTGTTAAAACAAACTGGCAGTGCAGGATTTGATTGTCAGTGCTGGGAGTCTAGAACTGTGTCACAGTAAGTTCTAGTTCTAGACGAGATGTCACAGTACTTCCGAGATGTGTTATTCCACGGCATTTGTGACACACATGTACATGTACGAGCGTATTCTATATTTTACTGTATACACAAGTCATTCATGCACAATTTTCATGTTCCGGAGACCAGTAAAATATTGATATGTCCTACATATCCAGCATTTACTCATTTTATGATAAATCGATTGTTTATAATAAACGATACTTGATAAGCAGAAATAGATTACCGATCGATAAAGATTTAGTGTATTCGATAGTCAAAAAAAGTGTAATCGCTTCACCCCTACAGTAATAACTGACAGTATACAACCAACCCATTTTTTTGGCAAATGGGATCGAGGCCCGTTTGTCCTCTGGTTGGTGGATCTGATCTATCCTCCCCCACCGTTTAGGAGCCGCATCTGACGCCTGATCATGGGGTGGTGGCGTCCCACGGAAGCGGAAAGGTGGTTCTTGACCAGGGAGTTGTACGACTCCTTGTTCTTGACCTGCCCGGTACGCGAACCCCGTCGAATTTTTTTTATACAACCAACCATTCGCATACAACTCCTGACAGCTATCATCACGGTGCGGAACAGCTCTCGATCATACTTTTGATAATGCTATTTTCCGTGGTTGGATTCACCCTCCCTTTCTTGTATTGGCTGTGTATTATTACGTGCCATGAAGTGGAGACGATAAAATTAATAAATAAATAATACCGTACCTGAATCGCGTACATTCCGTAGTCTATTACGCCTGCCATGCACTGGGGGTAACCCCGCAGGGGGTGCTGGCACCGGTACTCCTTGCCAGTGTAGCAGGTTTGTGTCGCTGGCTGACGATTGCAACTCGTGGCCGCCGGGCACGGCCAGGCTGGGCGGGGATGGACCGGGCGCGGTGCTCAACGCCCGCGTCTTTGCCGATGTCGCCGCAAGCTCCTCGGCTTCGCGCCGCGCTCTCTCCTCGGCCTCGGCTTCATGCCGAGCTTTCTCCCTGGCCTCGGCGGCCTCTTGCTTGGCCATCGTTGCGGCACTCTCGGCCTGGGCCACGCGCTCGCACAGAGTCCGGACCTCGTCCTTGTACTGCCTCTGCTGCTCTGTGAGTCGATCGCGCTCCTCTGCGACCGCCTGACGCTGCTTCTCAAGTTCCCCGAGCAGCTGTCGCTGTGCATCCTCGTGCTGGCGTGTGCTGTTCAGCTGCTGCTCTCGGTCGTGTTTGGCGCTCGCACGTCCATCCTGTTTGCGTTTGGCTGCACGCTGAGATGCCTTCAACGTCGACTCAAAAATGCTGGCAAACTGAAGACGTGGATCACACAATTGCAGACACATATGCGCGCGCAGACATGCACAAAGTCAAAAAAGAACATGCAGGAGAAAGAGAAAAAGGAAGAAAAAAAGAAATGTCCTCCCCGGCCGGGAATCGAACCCGGGTCTTCCGCGTGACAGGCGGAGATACTTACCACTATACTACCGAGGATTGACTGAAAATTGCCTTATGTGAAGCTCACCTGAGCCTACCAATTCTTGGAGATACATGCATCTTTTCCATTTTTAATAGGGGCCGTCCGTAAATATCGATATTTTTTCAAGACGATATTAATTTTGTTCATTTCTCCCCTGACCCCCTCCCTCCTCAAAACGAACATACACAAGTTTATGCAGTGGATCGATATTTTTTTAATCGAGTGCAATCTCCTCGTGAAACATGACCAGCTGCAACTCTAAATTCACCATGCACCTAGGTTTACGTTGCCACGGTTGCACAAACTTGCCATGGCTATGTTCATGTGTTCACGAGGTTGACTTTCACTTTGTGTAGGTCACGAACTACATGTTTGCACAGTGCCCGTCCATAGATAGAGTTTGATATTTTTTTTCACAAAGACGAGACGAACAGGGCCCAACCCCCCCCCCCCAACGAACGAATATCTTCTCTAAAAAAATATAAATATTTGTGGACAACCCCTTACTATTTCACGAAGAAGAGGTTGCAGCAACTTTGGTGCTAACTGAGAAGTTTTGTGTTGCTCCAGCGCAAGCTCCCACTAAGAGCGTTCTCACACTGCGACCAAAACCAGCGTTCGTGCAGTCAAGCGGCCAAGCTACATGGCAACGGCATGCACATTGACCAACACCTAGTCGTCATGGTTACATTTTAAACTCTGATTGCTACCTCAAGAGGGGATGCTACGGCTATGGACATCGAGTTGCATGGACACTGAGCATATTCCAAATGAAACCTAACGGCCTGAATTTAACGTGTTTGACCATCGGGCGGAATTTGTGAACTACTCAAACACCCAAGTGGAGAAAAAGTGGCCCTTGTAAAGAATTAGCCGTGGTTGACTATAAAAACCCTAAGATCGCCACGCAAAGTGGTCATTGGCTACCCCAGCCATGTATTGCTTGGAATAAAACTAAAACAAAACAAAAACAAAAATACAATCAGGCATTCTTCCGTTACCAGATCTTCGGGATTGCAAGGGGGTGGTGGGTGGTCATGACAGATCAGCAAGAATTCCAAAAGAAATGTCCTCCCCGGCCGGGAATCGAACCCGGGTCTTCCGCGTGACAGGCGGAGATACTTACCACTATACTACCGAGGATTGACTGGTAATTGGTTCACGTAAAATGGATCTGAGGTGAACTGATTGGCCCATCCATACCACAGCCTGTCATACTTTGTGTATGATAATAGAGAGGTTCTGGAGTACAATTTTTCGTGCCAAAATCCATAGAGGCGCCACGGATTTTTTATACGTCATTTTCGAACAGTGAAATGTTCAGGAGTACGGAACTTAAAAGCGGGATTCACAGATGCTTTTTTTGCGATGCGACACGCGATGCGACGTGATCTGCGACGGACGCGTGCGATGCGAACTCGCGAAATACCATTCACAGAAGAAGTCAGCGATGCGACAACGCTTTGTTGATTTGGGTACGTCACCATGATATTCGCGCAGTTTGGTACAACTTGTACAAATGTCTAGGCAACTCTCGAACCTTTGTACAACTTTGCTGTAGAAAAGGTCAAAATTGTACGCCAAATCGCTTGTCGCATCGCAAAAGTTGAGCCAAGCTCAACTTCTGCGATGGCCCAGTTGCGGCAGTTGTGTGGGGTGCGAGATGGCTGCGATTTGGGGATTTCCTGCTTTCGCGGCAGTCACATCGCAAAAAAGCTTCTGGGAATCCCGCTTTATGTGTTTGCCATCATTGCCTAGGTTACGATCGCAAACACGTCACATTCCCGCGCTATGCCTTTTTATTTTGAAAATTTGTACCGGAATCAAAACTTCCCGCGGAAAATCGATGTTTCTCGTACCAAAATAATTTGTACGCGAAAAATCTTTCTGCACCCGATGACGCAAAATCTCCACACGAAACATGGTTCGTGTGAAAGCCAGTCCACACGGATTCTCCGTGCCGAAAAATCGTATGGAGCACGCCTGGAAAAAATCCGTAGCGCCCACACGGATTTTGGCACGGAAAATCGTACCCCGGAACCTCTCTAATGAAATTCTCAGCAGTCAGCGGCGGATCCAGCGATCTGTACAGGGGGGAGGTTCCAGTATAGTCAAAACTGAATAGCTTATACATGTATATGGACACGAATATGGTTACCAGTGGTACATTTTACGAAATCTAGGGGGTTCTGTGGAAGCCCTGGAAACCCTCCTGGATCCGCCCCTGGCAGTGCACGTGTGTTGATGGCCAAAGAGTTGATCCGGCCATGAACTGAGCAACCGGACCGGTTCTGCCAGGCATGGAGGGGAGGGGGGTAGGGGAAGGGAAGGTTGTCTTTGTTGTATGCAGTGGACATGAGTAGCCTTAGAGTGACAAGGTTCTGCAAGAGGTTCAAGCACCTACCTCTTCAAAGTCGAGCCTCCCATCTCCGTTACGATCAGCCATCTTGAATATGGCAGCGACTTCATCTTCGGACATTGGGTCACCTTGCTGCAAAACATGATAAAAGTAAATGAAGCCAAAAAGCAATCGCGTTCAGGTGCGGCCGGGACCAACCATTATGTTTTCATTTTGACTAGTACTGGCAATACCGTAGAATCCCACGGATAAGCCCATGGGCTTATCTGTTTCACAAGGACATTTCGGTGGGCTTATACGAGAACATGGGCTTATAAGCGGGCATGGGCTTATACGCCGACACCAAGTTGTGCTATTGAAACGTATCAAGGAAGTGAGAAGCACATTGCTGAAAACCACTGTGCAAACAAAAACAACCGATGATTGTGCTGAAATGTACGGAAAAAAAATATACTGTGCATGACAACGTACATGGTAAGGTCAAGAGTCCATAATTTATGGACTCTCGGTATGACCTAGGCCCATGGGCTTGTACGATGAAGCTTTGTGATGTTCGAACAAACCCTGGGCTTATGCGCGGGCATGGGCTTATACGCGGGTGGGCTTATCCGCGGGATTCTACGGTATGTATATGAAATTTGAAAATGTCGCAAGATCTCGATGGGGGACACGGCTGTTTCGAGTGCGACATCAGGCAAAATGGCGTCGATTTTTTTGCACTGCACGCGCTGTATGCACGCGCGTACTGTACGTCAGAATCCCATGGTAACATGTACGCGCGCGTACGCGTGGGGTAGCGTGGCCAAGCGATCGTACCTTCGAACAGGAATTTTTCAAAATCCATCGAGTGAGAAGATGAAGTTTGAAGGAATTGTTTTTTTCTCTCCTGATAATAGTCTGCCCTGCTCGGTGTACCTGTGTTGTCTGGCCTCGCGCGTCGTCTTGCCGGCCAGCTGTGAACAGTTTGTGAGATCGAACTGATGCCAAATCAATGAGAGATGCAGCGAAATCGCCAAACTGTGAAGCTGATTTGAATAAAATAATAACAATAGAGAAAGATAATGGATACATTACCTGGCTGTAGCTGTTCTCCTTTGCTGACGATAGCAGGTGGTCCAGTTCGTTGTTAGTTTTCTGCTCTTTACTCACGAGCAAGCTGGAGGCAGTTCGTTTACTTGAACTGACGCCAACTCACCCACCAACCACCCGCGATCAACGCACTACACTGAAAATTGAACTGAGCAAACAAAGTACTTCAGGACTGTTCCTTTCTACTTCGTTTGCGAGGAGCTGGGACCAGAGGTCGTAAACTGGGGAGAGCTGCGATAAGGTGCTGCTGGACAGTGACTCGAAGCCTTTGTAGAGGATCTACAATGCCACCATGACGGAGAAGAAGGGTGTTGAACTCTTTGTGAATGGATTCTGCCCCATGCTCAGCAAGCAACCCAAGACCTACTTTGAACTTCCGCATGAACGGAACTACATGACACTCCAAAAGGTGAAGCTTTGGGGTAACCCGGCCAAGGCTACGAGGAACAATCTCCCTACGAACTGACGCCATAAACTTGTCGATATTGCTCTGCAGCTGGTCGCAAACTTCTGCTGAGACTGCTGAAGTTCCGGAAAATGCGACGTGACACTTTGCGTATTGTTGGAACAACAGCTTGTATCTGCTGGATACAGCTGAAGCATCAGCAGCCAGAGAGGGTGCACGCTTCTCAACAACTGCAATGAATGAGGTCAAGTCAGTGATGACGGAGTCTGTAAGCGGGTGGTGGACATGGTTGCCAATAAATGAACCCCCATGGTACACTTGCCGGCAGATGTTGTGCTTTTGTAAAGCAGCCTCAACATACTGGTTGCAAGGCCCGTTGTCGAGCTTTGCATTTGTGAGGGTCTGCTCGTGTTTTCTGATGTCACCCTGCAGAGCTGTGACCTGCTGCTGCATTTGCGTGGCAGCATGCTGGAGGTTACCAACCAAAGCCTGGAGGTTGTTTTGCTGCTCCGGATTGCCAAAATGGAGAGCAACCCATTGCATCTGGCCAGTCAAGACAGCAAGCTGACTAGATTTTTCTTCCAGTTCTAATCTTTTTTTCTTACATTCTTTCTGATCTTCTATCAGCTTTTTAAAGGCAGCTGAATCTGCCTCACTCACCTCTACCTCGCATGCCATTTTCAAATCAATGTGCTTACACTCCTTGACAAAGGAGTCAAAGACCCATAAATAGATTCCGAGATCAAGATGTAAGGCTGGCAGGCACACATGATCAATAGGAACAGAGAGCATGGCAGGACGTATGGCATTGTAGAAATGCTCTGCTTTGGATAAGCGCCCACCGTCAGCCATAAATTGGCCATGGTGAAGTGAGAGTGTGTCGAGCGTGCGTGGCTCTGGCTGCTGCTCCCAATCAGCGGGGCACTGTTGTATCTATTGCTTTGTACTCAAGCAGTGCAGACACGGATGCACTCCTGCAGATCCTGACAGGCCATAAACAGTCGTTTGAAACTCGTAGTCGCCAAACAAAATAAGGCGAAACGACTTGTTCTGCCATGTGGTTGCAGCAAGGCTGTCAATGTGTTGTACAAGTGACGCAAAAGCAGTGGAAAGGTTGCCCGGGGTATCTTTTGCATTGAACACAAGGATAGGGATGGTGTTTTTCACAGCATTTGGGTGAGGGATGTTGCAAATCTGGAAGGATAATTTGAAAGACCCGCCCCCATGATCTCCCCCTAACTTCACCCAAATCTCATCCTGCGGGATAACACCATGGTTGGTAAGCATACCAGCCTCCTCGTACTGGTCCAAGAAGAAAAGGACAATCTCTGTGAGGTTGCATGCCACAACCATTGGTGACGAAACTACATCACCACCCGGAAGAGTGAAAGGGCACATTTCGGAAGCATAAAATGCAGGTACCTCTGCCGCAAGCTGCTGCCGCATGGTGTTCTCCGACTCAATCTCACACCCAAAGGACTTGAGCCACCTCCGCAATTTCCTCAGCTGGTTCCAAGGCATGTGCAGATCTGCTTTTAAAGCAAGGGCAGAATGAGATGAAGGTGCACAAGGAGACACACCGGCAGATTTAAGCAAATTTTCACGGTCTATCTTACCCATACTACGCAGCTCATAGGCATCTTGCTTACCGACACCAACAGTGCCCCCACAGACTACCTCTTTCGCCTGTCGGATTTCTGCCGACCTCCTCTGCATCTGCCTTACAGACACAGCATCACTGCCACCTTGCGTTGTACGCACATACAAAGCAGGGGTACCACCCGTCCGTAACTCTAGCCTACCATCAGTGGACTTTGACTGTACCAAGTGGGTAGTCAAATGCTCCGCTGCCTCCCCACGAAGCTTGCTGGGTGACGCTGTCAATACATCTGCGACAGTAGTCGACCTGGTCACACAGGCAGGGCCACTGTATGCATTGAAAGGACAGACCTTCATATGCGTCTGCAATGAGAACAGTTTCATGCTGTGCTGGCAGCCAGAAAGAGAGGACACGTAATTGTCACACCTCACTGGCAGATGAGAAAGACATTCCAGCTCAAATGATGACAACTTTCTCATTCCAGATGCATACATGTCACACATGCAAGAAGGGCAGGTACGCGTAGTGCTGAGGTGCTCCCAAACACATGGCACACAAACTAGCTTGCTACAGCAAGGCGTCGTAAGTGCATTGTCGGCGACGTGCCGGCATACGCTACATGTAACAGAAGGGAAAATAAATTGAAACCGATCAGGTGACAGCACCTGGCTCGCTTTGTAGGAAGGCGACCCCATGTCCAAAAGCACCTGCATGCTTTCAAGATCAATGCCAGTGGATGTGGCACTGTCGTCTGCTGCCGCGGAAGCCGACGAAGACAATGCAGAGTGCTGTGTACTACTGTATGTAGGCATTTTTTTCTTTTTTGGTTTCCTCCCACCCTTGCTGCTACTTTTCATGTTCTTGCAGAACGTACAGTCTGGCTCTGCATGGGCCACCCAAGCTACAAGTTTGCCTGCACAGCCACCACCACAGTGCCTGTACCCCTTTTCCTCACTACGTAAAATGACTTGATGGCAAGGGCTACAGATGTAGCGTGGATGTATGTGTGCCTCATCCTTGGTGACATCGCACTCAAAGACATGCTAGCATGCTGTATGCCAACGGAGTATTCGTGAGCTTCATGCTTGTTTTTTTTGGCATGCGACGAGAATCTCTCCCCACCAATTCTGCACACAGCTGAAAGGTACTGCACGTGTTGATCCATATTCAATGCAAAGTTGGCATCACAAAGGCGCCTTGGTCTAAGGCAAAGTACGTCGGTCCAGCAAGATTTGTGCAGAATTGGAAACTAGACCAGCAAGGCAAGCACAGAAAACTAAAAACTAACCCAGGAAAACAGGACGAAGAGCAGCAGCAGCCTTAGGAAAACGACCTCGGGTGAACCCAGCTCCTACGCTACGACTTCAAAACAAACAAACTCTCAACACTGGAAACGGCTCCAACAGGAAAACGAAACGGAGAAAGAAGATCGTTCGAGCGATCGAGTTGTCAGCATTTTCTCTTGCACCTGCTGCACCGGGACTGGGTGTTCTGAGTGGTGTGTGAGCGACGTGGCGAGGCAATATCGATGGGTTTGAGACGTGGGTGAGGATCGCGAAATTGAGGCTCTCAGCGAAAAATTTGAAAAATCTGAAAAAACACAGTTGATTGACCTGGACTCGAACCCGGGGCCTCATGTCGCTTTTTCGCGAGTTTTGAACAGCCGTGGGGAGGGGAGGGGGGTCTTCTGTTTTCAACGCCTCCTTTTTTGCAAAATTCACGTATTTTGGGGCTTCAAAAAAGAAATGTCCTCCCCGGCCGGGAATCGAACCCGGGTCTTCCGCGTGACAGGCGGAGATACTTACCACTATACTACCGAGGATTGACAGGCATTGGAAGAGTACATAGCCCCCAAGATTGGAAGACTGCCTGTACAATCTCTATCCAGGGCGGTGACGGCAAAACTTCATATCACGTGATAGGGTTCAAAAGGTTATGCTGGCAAACAGTGCAAAGTGACTGCAAGGAGAGCGTTGCGCCCAAAGCAGGGTTGCATGCAACCAAGAGTACATAAGTGCAGCTCCAGGAAAATCCTCCCACCGCGAAGTTGTTTGTTTCGGTCATAGTGACTCATGTTTGCTGCATCTCGCACGGTTCACATGATTATTTGACCGTATCACCATAATTTCTGTTACACATTGCTGCGTGTACAAAAGGTGAAAACACACGCAAATATCCCACTATCACCTCAGTGATATGGTGATTTAGATAGCCGTGATTGGCTATAAAAAACCTGCAATCACCACGCAAGTGGTCATTGGCTACCCCAGCCATGTATTGTTCGGAATAAACTTCAAAAAGCAAAAACTTAACCCTTTAAGAGCCACAGGAAAATTTCAAAATTCTGCATTTTTTCGTGTTCCTTGGATCATAGCTTCAGTTCTACTCACTCAATCCTCACAATCTAGGGCTTCCTGGAAAGGTCTCCGCGAGAGGAAGAGAATGTGGTCGATCATGATCGCCAGCACACCGTCTATCCAGCGCTAGATCGCAGCGACAGTACGAAAAAATGCCCCAAATGCGTCCAATTGCGTCCCGCTCCAGATATTTCATTTTGCTCGATCGTGGAGTTCCAATTTTTTCGCTGTGTACTCTTGACAATATCAACAGTGAAACCCGTGCAAATTCGAGTAGACCAGCGTGACGAAAAGTCTCAAAATTCTCAATACTAAAGTCGCACTGCACGCTTTTGAAATTGCCGCGATCGCGGCTCAACTTACGAGTAACTTATCTCACGAACCGTTGCTCGCATCGCTTCGCGGATTGTTTCTCCCGACAGGTGAGAGTTTTCTCTTCGCCCTGGATATTTCGATCACTGGATTTGAGCAAGATTGGACTGAGTTACGATCTTTTGAAGTTTTGCATTTGAATGCGTCGTTTACGACGCATTCAAGTATGGGGCGGCTCTTAAAGGGTTAACACTAAACCTACTCTATGACGGGTTTGTCTATGATTCAAGATAACCAAAAATAAACTGAGCCTGATACTTGCCAGGTGGCATCCCTTGCTCACCTTTGTTAGCATCCGTGTCAGCTCCGCACGGCTTAGGTACCCGTCGCTGTTCAGATCCAGTTTCTTGAACGCCTTCAGCAGGCTCTCCCGCGCATCTCGTGCCACGTCCTTGCTACTGCGGCCGGCAAACTGTGCGCGAACAATAGCCTTGAAGTCGGTATAGATGATGCGACCTGGAACGAGAGAATGAGCAGAAAAAACATCCAATACAAACGTTCACTGGTTTGAGGGAAAGACACAAACAGGGAAAGTCTGAAGGAAAAAATTGACTGTCACCACCAGGACTCAAACCAGGGACCCTCGCTTGTAGCCAGCGATGCTCTAACCATTGAGGTATGGTTTGCACATGGTCATCTCAACTTGCTTCCCATCGCAGGGGTACCTTGTCATCAGTCATCAGTCATGACCTCTGCTGCAGCTCCTAAGTTGGCGGATAGAATAGTCAATAATGCTTAGGGGGATAAAAGCCTGAAACAGTGCCCTCGGGTATCTGGAGCAAAACACAGCAGTCCGTCTTCAAGGACTAAAGGCATTGTCCTGGTGATGGATGGACATCAGGGGCGTTGGGCACGGTACGGTCACTATGATATCGACCGACGGTACCACTTTTTGCCCCAGGTACCCAGTGAATCAATAAAAGTAGTACACTAATCTGGGCTCAAAGTTTCCATGATGTTCGGCTCAGCAACCCCCCCCCCCCCCTCCCCCCCCCTCCCCCCCCCCTCCCCCCCTCCCCTCCCCCCCCTCCCCCCCTCCCCCTCCCCCCTCCCCCCCCCCACGAGTAAACTGTACTTCAGATGGCTGACCGTACAACACTAAAATACCTGCCGACGCCCCTGGGTCACATGGAAGTGTAACCCGTTCACAGGTCATAAGTGAATACACACCACCGTCCACCGCTGTACTTCCAAGCACATGAAGTACAATGCAAGCTAGCAACACCCTCCCCAACCCCTCCCTCCTCTATGCCCACACAAAAGCTGCAGAATCAAGAACAGTTCCAGAAGCTGTTTCACGCACGCAGCAATAAAAAATAATAGTGTCAGGTGATGAAAGACTGAAAAGGTACATGTACCTTGATGCGACGCCATGACGGCTTTCACTGCCTTCTTCGTCGGATTGCATCCAGCCTGCTGTAGTACTGCACCGCAAACCAAAGAAAACGCCCAGTCTACTGTATAAACATGAACAGGTAGGTCGGGGGTGCACTAGGATTGCTAGGAGAGGCATGGTGGATAGGAAGAAGCCTACTCACTTTGTTCAACCAAAACCTTGTCACTCTTAGCCCTACGGTGAACACTACTGCTGCTGCTAAGTCAGGAATGCTTTCACACACGTTTGTGTTGCGATTTGAAATAAAAATATAAAATTCAACAACAATTACAACATTCAAGCTGAAGATATAATGGCACCTTGGATGGTCAGCATTGAAAAGAAAAGCAATTACTTTGTCATGAAGTTGATTCTTCTAAGTTCAATTACTTTGTGTGGCTTATAATAGGTGTGCATGTGTATGCGTGATCTATAACTACGAGCCCCTGCTTTCAGCAAGCCGTGTGCCGAATTGTCGCACACTATGGCTGCTCATTATCTGATTAGAATTGGTTGTCTGCATCATGCGGCTGTTCAAATGTAACACGCTATATACGTGCTGCTGTAGCTAAGTGCTAACTCTGCCACTGCTGTCTGTGATCGGGTCTGTAAAAACGGCGGTCAACACATGCCAAAAACATTACGCGCTCTATCTAGCTGCAGACACTGACATTCACGCAGACCTGTACTGTCTCTCCTCTCACTATCACCATCAGTTCACTCCTGGTGCATAGTACGTAGGTGGGTGGTGATACATTGCTTGTCAGGCTGATAGTTATATTAGTCAGAGCATGATAGAGATAGAGAGTGCAATGCAGTAGCACTCAGGTAAGACTAGTATGTCTTCTACCTATCCCTCACCACATTTACCCCACACTTGGAACCTAGACAATAATTATAATAACAATGTTTTTCTCTATGTGATTCATACATCTTCTGGCTACAAGAATCTGTTGATAACTCAAAACGCACCAAAATTGGGACGTCCCTTTTCACGTGCTCTGGCCCCTAGTATTCTTTACTGAGGAGCCTCCCTGTGATAGGTATCATCAGTTTGCCTACGAAGAATCCTTGACATAAAGTGCCAATGCTAATGTCAGCGTTGAACGACTTCGACTCCAGACCCGGCAGTTCTACACGATCCATGTTCTATGCAACTCCTGATCATGAACTGACTTGCTGATCTCAAGCGTAGCTCAGATAAGCGATGCCATACGCGAGCGTGGGTAAACCGGCCCTGCTCCACGGGCGACTGTATCGCGGGCAGCCCGGTGCCGAAACCCACACCAAGATCTAGCGCCGTAGTCGCCCGTGTCGTCTCCATGCGCGCTATGCGTGACTCCCTGGTGCATGCTGAGTGTGCATGTGTGTGTGTGTGTGTGTGCGTGTGCACGTGTGCGCGCGTGTGTGTGTGTGTGTGTGTGTGTGTGTGTGTGTGTGTGTGTGTGTGTGTGTGTGTGTGTGTGTGTGTGTGTGTGTGCGTGCATGCATGCGTGTGACCTGCTTTGGCATCATGGGTCTGTGTATGGTTGGCTTTCATACCTTACTACTGTAGGGGTATCGTATCTTTCGGAGTATAAGCCGCACTTTGAACTCTCGAAATTCACCCAAAACGGGGGGCATGGCTTATACTCCGATGATCAAAAAATATTAACGGTGATAAATAGGATAGACGTCTGTATTTGAAACAGTGCAAGGAAGAATGGCTAAAATAACAACAAAGATTGGGTGTCACATACAACTCCCTTTCTTTGGAGTTGGACGAAAATATTGACCAACGGAATTTTCTGCCGGTACAGTACTTGGTACAAGTACAGTGTTGCTCAATGAAATCCGATCGCGTCAAGCAAGTTTATGTAGCCCTGCATCAGTACACATCCCAGTGTTTGAACTGCAGGTCTAGGGCTGCACAGCGCTGCCCGGCGTGGCATTCCCTCGCTCGGTTGGATTTCATTGAGCAGTGCTGTACGCATTACCTCACCGAAGTGCCACGGTGTACCATAACACCTGCGGATATCAGACAGCAGCTGTTATGGTACACACGCCGGCGAGGTGATGCGTGCTACCGTCATAAGACTTTCCTCACAGTTGCGTGAATGAGGCCATCGACCACCCTTCGTTTTTCTTTTTCTTTTTTAATTTTTCGCGATGACCATTGGCCAATAAGAGATGCAAAAATATGGTTATTATATGAGGCTATGAGGTAACATCAGTTGAACACAAAATATTTGTGTTGATGTTTCAGTGATCACAGAAAGATGTAGGCCCACTTGGACAATGTTGCAGCTCTGTGAACAGACTAAACTGTTCGTATGGTCATCTGGTTGTTCTTACCTTTCTCCAGGTCATCATCGTGTCGTACGGTGAACTTTCTCGTCTTGAACACAAACAGCCATGCGTTGCGCGCTACCTCGTCACTCTCCGACGACATGATGGTTAGGTACTGAAGGTACTAGCGCGGCCAGCGCTGCAGCAAAGACTGTACTGATTTTTAATTTTAGCTAGTGGCCGGGTGATCACGTTCCTTAGCTTCGCTCCACCACAGACCTCAGAGCCCGTGTACTCAGTAGCGAGTTGATTCGGGCGCTGTCAGCCCACACTCGGCAGATCCACCGACCTCTCCTTGTCTTTGCAAAGCCCAACAATCAATACTACCCTAAACTACTTGCCAAGAGTGATAACTACAACAATAAACCACGCTGCATAGATCGCTGTGTCTCGGATAGCAAGCACTACAGAGTACAGTGTGTGAGCCCGTCCAAAGCTCACACTACGTGTACATGTAGTAGTACACTGTCAGTTACAGTGCCAGTGGAAATCACGGTTCGCGGTGGAAAAGGGAGTTTCGAGAATAAAGAGGGTTGGCCTTGGCTTGGGTCACCGGTGGGAAGAAAGCAGCTGCTGACAGAGTCAGTGCTGTAACTCGTGCCGTCGTGGACGTGGGGTAGTGTACAGTCATGGTGTAGTACTGGTAAAGTGGTAGTAGATCTGCTACATGTAGTACTAGTACTAATAGCTGCAGCTTCATTCATTCGTGAACTGATTTGTTGTCAACAACAGTCAAGGAATAATGTTCAAACACGAACGACGTAGTTACCAGGTTACGGCGCCGTTCATTCAGGCCGGGCAGTGCCAGTGCCAGTGCCAGCCTAGCCTATCGCGAAGCCTATACTAGGTCTAACTCTAAGGCAGTGAAGCCTGAAGTGAAGGGATCATAGGGACGCTGGTCTAGGAGGGCCGGATTTCTTGCACCATGGCAACGAGAAGCGGGTACGGTGTACTACGCGAAAGCCACTGCACCATGTACAAACAAAATGATGTACCAGCGCAAAGCGTTGCCGGCTTGCGCAGGGAGAGCGAGTGAGACACTCCGCCGTGACCATGGTGACCCACTGGCACTGGGGCCAGTCTTGACCTACACATGCTACACTACAGAGCAGCATGCTACGAGCCTATAGAGTATAGTATTATACGGCCAAGAGAATATTATTGTTTTTTCTTTTCTTTTTTTACTATTGAACACTATTGAACACTCACTGCATGATGAACTAACAAATTTAATAATGAGAAGGAGAACTCGACACAATGGTACATATCCAGCAGGACGGAGTGGGTGGGACCTGTGAAGCTCAGCCGACCAAGGGTCTCGGCATCACAGCTGCACATGTGCACCAAAGGAAACAAAAATGGGGAGTGGAAGGGCGCGGGGAGCAGGAGAGCAAGAACTCTAAGGGTAGGAAAGAGAGGAGGGAGGGGAGGAAACCAGGAAACTTGTTATTCCTAGAATTAGCAAGATATGAGTGCAAACAAGTACGCAAACAAGTACAACGATAGCAGTATCAAGATCATGATGCTGAGGCGAAAGTAGAGGCTGATTGCCGTGCAGTTTTGACGAAAGATTAGAGTGAGAATGGAGGAGAGTTAGAGAGAGATTAAGGCAGATGGATTGGGAGTGTGATGAGAAGGGAGTGCTCCCAGAACTTGAAATGGGTCGTACTGGCAGTAGCCTAGGGGGCGATGTCCGTGGCCAATGACCAACCCGACCGTTTCAGGTAGCGGTAGGTCAGAACCTTGAACTGCTGCATCCCTTTGGCAGACGGTGCATCGCGGAGGAGAGAGGTTGGCAGTTCATTCCAGGCTTCGATGAGGCACTCCGGGAAAGAGCGCAGCGCAACATTGCACGATCTGGCAGGTAGGGCTGTCTGGAGTTGAAGCGCGTGCGCAAGGTTGGCTGCTGAGCGGCGAAGTGTGGCAGGCGCGATGGCGGGTGCGATGGCTCTGGCTGGGCGTGTCGCTGCAAGAGCTGGTGGGCTTGTGATGTAATGGAGCTTGTACAGAGTTGTGAGGCCGGCCACACGGCGCCGCAGGGTCAGAGTGTCCATTGCAGCCCCTGTCCCAATCGGGGTGAGGGCACGATACTGGACTCGGTCCAGCTGTGAGAGATGGGTAGCCGCAGCTCCCATCCATACAAGTGGGCAGTACTCCATTAGAGGCCGAATGAACCCCCGGTATGCTGTGGCCCGGCCCGGTGGGTCCAGGACATGGCAGGCCTTCCGGAAGAAACCAATTCGCTGTGTGGCACGCACTGCAGTTCCTCGAAGATGCTCTGAGTATGATAGATGGGCATCGAACGTCACGGTGGTGTCTCCCAGGGTCTGCGGTGGCGGGACACAGTCATGGCCTGTGATTTCGTTGGCTCGGAACGGAAGTGACACGCCACTGAGCACCCCATTCAGCAAGTGCATCCACACCAGCTTGGAGGTTGCGGCACACTTCTGTCACAGCATGTGGCGTTGGGATGTGGGCATAAAGCGTGGTGTCATCTGCGTAAACAGCCGGAGTGATCCCTTCCGGTAGGACGTCGACGGCGTCATTCACGTGCAGCAAAAACAGTGTGGGCCCAAGGATGCTCCCTTGTGGGACCCCAGCATCAATTTTGTATGATTCTGAAGATGCTCCGCCGACTACTGCCTGCAACTTCCTGTCGTACAGGTAGTCAGACAGCCAGTTGAGGAGGCCGAGGGGACCAGTGATGCCGTATGACGCAGCCTTGTGGAGCACGCCTCGGTGTGAAACTTTGTCGAATGTTCCTGCTATGTCTACAGCCAGCACGCGGACGCGCCACCACGGTTGACTTCGGAGACCCAGGAGTGGTGGGAAGACGTGAGAAGGTCAGATGTGCTGAGCCCCCTGCCGGAATCCGTACTGGTGGATGGACAGAGCCTTTTCATGCTCAAGATGATTGATTATGGCAGTGTTGACAATCTTCTCCATGACTTTGGAGACAACAGATAACAAGGACACAGGTGGGTAGTTCTTAACAGCAGAGTGAGATTGCTTCTTGTGTATCGGGACCACACGGGCTACTTTCCAGAGAGAGGGCTGAACATGGCACCGAAAACAGAGTCAGTGAGAACAGCTTGGCAAGTGGTGCAGCCAAAACCTTTGAGCACTGCTTCAGAACTCTGGCAGGGATGCCATCGGGTCCGGTAGCCTTGGTCGGATCCAGCTGGTGGAGCTGGCGCTGGACTGTCGTTTCCGAAATCGGATAGTTGTCAGGGCAGATGTACACCTAGGAGGAAGGTCAAGAAGGTCGGAGTGCTGTAGATCTTGATCACCCAGACTGCATTTGCTCGCAAAGAATTCTCCAAAGCAAGTAGCCTTTTCCCGGTTGGTGACATATTCTCTGCCCTGGGCATTACGTAGGACAGGGATAGACGAGCTGCGGCCAGAGCCTGCAGCTTGCTTCAGGAGTGCCCACCATTGCTTGTTTCGCAGTGATCCATGTTTGAGCCGATCTCGGATGCGGGCAGATTCTGCCTGCTTTGCAAGACCGAGGCAATCGGCAGAGGCTCGGACTTTGGCATTGTAGTCAATGAGTTGCTGGTGGCAGGTGGGGTGTCTCCTGAGACGGTTCCATGCATTCTTCTTTGCCTGGGTAGCGGCTAAGCATTCCGGCGTCCACCAGGATGGATCTGTTGGTTTCGTCGAAAGTTCTTTGTGTGGGATGAAGCGATTCATGCCTTCCATGACAACAGCGGTTACTGATCTGCAGGACGCCTCGGGGTCTACTGATATATTCCAGTTTGCTGTTGAGTAGAAGTGCCGAAGCCGGCCCCAGTCTGCCTGAGCATACCTCCAAACACGCCGTTTAGTCGGTGGCTCGCGGAGTGGGGTGGCATCAAAAGTGGCCAAAACGGTGGCATGGTCTGATGCTCCAATGGGGTCCAGTACATTTAGGCCGCGGTCACACATGAAAAGCTTGCACCGCTTTTGCGGAGGCGAAAAGCGGAACTACTGCAGCCGCTTTGGCGGACCACACGATGCAGCGGTCACACATACATGTAGACTACTGTGCTCCTCAACGCTCCGCTTTGGCGGAGAGAATGCAAATGCAGCACGTCCTATGAAATTTTAGATGTTCCGAGTTGAAGCGACCTTCGCTTGTACAATTAGAGCTATCGTGGATCGCTGACAGGCTGCTGAATGTCTCCAGTCAAGTACACTCGTGGATTTGGGGCACATTCACTGCGGCCAAGTACAGGTGTATTTGAATATTAGTATAGTTCACATCAATAATATCAAATTCAAATAGTTGCATAGCAGGGTGTCGTTGCTTCCTCCATGATCCATCATAGACCCAGCGACTGCGTGGATGCCTGCAGTTGCAGTGAGGGTGTGGCAGAGTACTCTACTACTCCCTGGTTGATTTCCTAGTGTTGCACACTCTGGTGGACGCATTGCTTGGAGAGAGAAGGAGAGAGTTGGAGATCGTCCGCGATCGGGGCCAATGAGTTGGGAGACGGATTCCCTCACCAACTATCCACTCATAACGATGCAGTATCGTTTGCGAGATCTCCAGAAAGTACAGTACATTGGCAAAGAAGAACAATATGAAAACTGAATACCAAACGGCAACCAAACAACACCAGAACTCAGCGCAGAATTAGCACACCAAACTCCAAAGCCATCACCACGCAGGTTCCACCGAAGCGGATCCGCGAAAGCGGAGGCTCCGCTCGCATTTTTTTGGCGTAGCGAAATCCAAACTAGGGAGGTTTAGTTCCCACGTAACGGAAACGCGTACGTGGGTGATCCACGTAAAGTGGATGAAGGGCATCCACGTTGCAATGTTGTGTTTAGTCCCACGGAACAAACAAAAGCATGAAGCAAAAGGCCCAAACCTGGTCAAAGACGAAGCTACCCGGGCCTAAGAAGCTCATCAAATATTGTGATTTCGTGCTTCGGAAACTTCTTCAGCTGAGCACCCTCGCAGCTCGCAAAATGCGCTCCATTCTGATTTTCACCCACGTTCTGGCGGAACGTGGGTGAGCCTCCATACACGGTATGTCGTGAATCAGAAAACGTCTGTACGTGGGTCACTGAGTATCACGTGGTACACACACGTAAAGTACCCACGGATTACGTGGGACTAAACCTCCCTACTTTCCGCCAAAGCGAAACTTACGCCTCCGCCGTTGCCGAGGCAACGGCGGAAGCGTCAGTTGACTCAGTTACGTTTTGCGGTTTTGGCGGAACGGCCAAGAAAGTGCATGTGTGACCGCGGCCTTACCACCGGTGCACCACTGAGGTCTCCGAGAAGTCGCTGAGTATGAGGTCCAAGTCCAGGCCAGGGTGTTCTCAGTGAACTAACTTCTCACCACGTGTCGGTTGAGTAACGTGCTGATGGAGCCCGTGAGATACTACAATGTAGGTGTATTTACTTCTTCTTGCGATGATGTCTTTTTACGAGTGCAGTACCCAAGACAGAAGACTGCAAGAGTTTATGGACTCTTGCCAGTACTCATACTACCTAGTACCCTGCTGTTTCTCGGCAGGTAAGTAGCTCAGCTGCTCAGTATCGACGAAAGGAGTCTTGTGGAGTAGTGTGCGGCTGGCTCTGAGGATTCTGGAGACAGCGAAGTAACATTAATTTTAGTTGTGTCAGAGTGTCTTCTGAAACTGCGAATTTGCTGCCGATTCGAGAAATCGCAGCTGGCTCTGACCCTGAGTGGACGCCGCTAGCGCGCTGGAGACAAGAAAGAGAGTTGCTCAGCGAGCGAATAGCCATTCGAGAGCGAAGTGGCCAACACTCAGTCTGCACAAGTACAGGATGCCCGTCCTGGTTACTAGCTCAGAGACAGCTATTCCGTATTCGCCTATTCTATGCTGTGAAGCGAAGGGACGATTCTTGAAGTGGAAGAACAATCGTAGATGTGCTGATCTCCTTGTATGTAGTATCATCCAGTTAGCTGTGTTATAGTGCTTGTAGAACTGAGTCCGTAGCAGTTGAGCCTCATGAAGAAGATCAGAGCAGAGTGTGATAGGATCAGCGGGACGTGGACATTCGCCACTGGAATAGGACATCATTTATTTGCATTATGAACATATCACTGCCTATCCCAAGCTCAAGTCTTCGATTGCGTCAGTGCAGAATTCCTGGCTGTAATTGTGTGCAGCATCCAAACGACAACAGCCAGCTCCAGAAATTACACCCTGAAGGCTTGCCGGTGTTCACTAAGCACTTCAAGTGTGTGCGGAGGCAGAACTGAAACGGCATTGACTGAGTGTTACGTGAAGAAGACAAAGGTAGTAGTCAGTATCAGGAGTATCATACAACATCAGGCATTATGGTAGATAAGGGATGAGACCAACAGGCTTGGCAACGTCAGCCATAGGAAGAACCACAGGCATAACAAGATCCGCAGTCATAGCAGAAGCAACAGCAATGGGAAGATCAGCAGCAATGCTAAGAAGAGCAGGCAGCGTAGCAACAGCAATCACAACAACGCAGACGCAATAACATTTTCAGCAGCCGTTCATCTCAGTCCTAGCAGCAAAATACGTAGCACGCTGAATGAGCAGGATTATTGTTCCCAGGACGCAGGAGCAAAGCCCACAGCAGCATTGCCGACGGCACCAGGTATGACCAATTTGTTCATAATAATATTATGCGGTGTAGTGTGTGTGTGTGTGTGTGTGTGTGTGTGTGTGTGTGTGTGTGTGTGTGTGTGTGTTTAGCACAAGTTGCTATGTCTAACATAGCTGTTCGCTATCATCGCTTCCGCGATGGGCATGTCTGAGGTCTGAGGTGTGTATATGCGTGCATCAGCTGTGTGGTGGATAGTAGATACCAGGCTAAAACTAGTGGTGGTCAATTCATCAGCCTTGCAAGCTGTTGAATGGTTTAATCCCAGCACAAGTTGCTATGTCAAACATAGCTGTTCGCTATCATCGCTTCCGCGACAGGCATGTCTAAGTGTGCGTGCGTGTGAGCGGTTGTGTATGTGTGTGTGTGTGTGTGTGTGTGTGTGTGTGTGTGTGTGTGTGTGTTTGTGTGTGTGTGCCAGCTAGTTCGGTTGGTGGGTACACTTATGCCTGATTGTGTTGGGTCTGTTGCCAACAGGCTCGGCTGCTTGAAGGTGTAATCGTTGGTTGAACCTGCCACTTTTTTTGGTTCCAGGGTTCGTATACTTTCTATTTGAAGTATACATACCTGTTAACCATGGACTGCTTCCGGCTAGATTATTAGTAGCAAGTATTACCTTCACTGGGGGCAGTTGGATCCCGGGACGGATACCCTGATGCAGTCAATCCTTTTTCTGCACCTTGTCCTCACCCACTTACTGAGGAGTGGTAGTGCATGCTCACTTCAAGCTTTCAGCAAAGAAAATTTCACAGCGTCAATAGCCCCGCGGAGATCCGTGTTGTGATCCCTGTTGTGATCTCGAACTCGCCAGTCACTGAACTGATTTTATTCCCGTGGTTATGCAAAAGACGTTACTTCAGTAACGTCTGGTGCTAGCCAGGGTCCACACAGCTTTAGTTCCGTGTGTGTGTTTGTGTGTTTGTGCCGTCGGCATGCCTGGCGCTATCCCGTACCTGTCCCGTACCGTACCATCAAAGTCAGCTGGCCACAATACGTTTTCAGTGAGGGTAGAAATCATGGCAATACAATTTTTTTAATACTAGTACATTGTTGTATCCTCGAACTCGTCTTCTGCAAAGTTCTTTCTCGCGCTGATACGGTACATGTAGCAGAAGTTGCGAGTGAATCAGCCTTAATCAGGTATCCCGAGGGGGACGAGATAGTGACGGGTACTGAGTCCGCAAAACTCTGCGTTCATGTACATTATGCATGATGCGTAGTCATGACCTCTGGATTTTAGCAGGCATGACTGTGCAGGCTATGGATATTTCTCTAATAATAAAAAAGGTATAGTTGATGTTCGGTCATGATGGAAGGAGAGGTTGAGCTGCGGGAGAGATGAGCTGATTCTTCGCAAGGTGAGGTTGACATCGGTTGGACCAGTATAACGATTACGAAGACAGTTGAACATGATAGTTTTCAAAGGTAACTCAAACTGTTACTCATTTTGGCAATGAAAAATCTTTTTACAAAAAAGTCAGCTAATGAATAAAAGAAGTTATGGCTGTTTTCTTCTGCTTCTGCTACATGTACTGTATCCGTCCGAGAAAGAACTTTGAAGAAGACGAGTTCGAGCACACACTAATTTATTGCCATGATTGCTACCCTGCTTTTCATGGAAACCACTATCTGCATGACCTCCGAACCCTTTACCATACAGACCACCAGAGCTGATCAGGTGCATTGTACACAATAGTGTTGCATACATACTAGAACTGTGGTACAATCATGTAGTTATGCTCCTACCTCCGAAAGGATGCCAAATTTGGCTCCAAATTTTAAACCACCAAATTTGGCCAATAATTATGCCGGCATAATCCGCCGGTGCCTAGAATAGTGTTGGGTAGGGTTATCACATTAATTATTGATGTTAAAAAGAGAAGAAAACACATGAGAACGAGTTATGCAGCAACTATCCGCGACCGTAACAAGATGATAAGATGATAACATGTCTCAGTAGCCTGTCAGTTTTGTGCCATATTATCACACATTCTGACTCTTTATCATCTTGTTACAGTCGTGGATAGTTGCTGCATAACTCGTTCCCATGCATTTTCTTCTCTTTTTTACATCAATATTTTTTATTACTGGCTCAGTATCGATTATTGAATGCACATTGAGCAGATAAATGCTGGTCGCCGAAGATTGACCCACAGGGTACATAGGGACAGGCAGGCCAATGAATGGAACACCGCACACACTTCCATGTCTCAACCTTTGTCATTGTTCATCCTACACTTTCCATTTCTTCTTTATCATGACCTTTTTTCTTATTCTTTTACTAAAAGCCATTATGGTACACGCAATGGGAACATGCAGCAGCCATGGTGGTGGGGGCCAGGCGCTCCGTCGACCAATTTACTCGTCTCGACATCGTCACGCTCTTGACGCACCAGATAAAGTGGAAGTATGAGGGAAAGAGAAAGAAAAGGGGAAGCAGGAGGGGAGCCGCGGGAGGGGGGGGGGGGTAGATAGAGAGAGACAGAGTACATGAGAGCGTGTAGTCCATCAAATTCATGTAGCAGGTTTACAAGGCGTCGGTTGCTTGCATGCAGTTGCTGCTCAACAGGTGATGGTATTAAGACTTATGCTACTCCCCGCTGCTTTGCTCCGATGTGTCTTTCTCATTTTATTTCTACTGCCTATAAGGCTATAGAGAGGACATAAATGCAGAACAGGTACTGCCGACATTGAGATAGAAAGATTGACAACATAATAGAGGTTTGATCCGAGACAAGAAACGCCGAAAAGGGGCAAGGAGACAGAAAGAGAGAGCGAGAGAGAGAGCGAGAGAGGGAGCGAGGAGAGGAGAGAGAGAGAGAAAGACAGAGAGAGAGAGAGAAAGACAGAGAGAAAGAGAGAAAGAGAGAGAGAATAAGACTAAGAGAGAAAGAGAGAGAGAAAGAGAGAGAGAGAGAGAGAGAGAGAGAGAGAGAGAGAGAGAGAGAGAGAGAGAGAGAGAAAGAGAGAGAAAGAGAGAGAAAGAGAGAGAGAGAGAGAGAGAGAGAGAGGGCGAGAGAGAGAGAGAGAGAGCGAGAGAGAGAGAGAGAAAGAGAGAGAGAACCATGTACATGTACAGTGCAGCCCAGCGGACTGGACCACTGCACAGGCTCTGGCAGGCAGACACAGAGCAATGTGCAGCAATCGCGTGATAGCGGACACGGCGAGCACTAGTAGCAGCATATACACAAGAAATAGGGGGAAGCGTTTCGCGCAATTGGAATGCAGCTGCATTCCGTGTACGTGCACTGCGTAGTGCAGTTAAAATTTGCATTAGCGAGGCGGTTTAACTAGAGTGTGTAAGTGGCTAGTAAAGACATGACACTAGAGATTTCAAGCATACAAACAAACAGCTGATGGCGTTTTAGGTCGCCGCTTTGACGTAACATGCGGCCGCAGGCGCAACCGTAGCCAGCAGCAGAGGGTGCCTTGGGTGGTCGCCGGGTAATGGTACGCCACTCCGGACACACACACACACACACACACACACACACACACACACACACACACACACAGACTACTGAGAGGAACACTTAAAAAACAAAGAAAAGCAACGGCCATCGAAAACAAGAATGCTTGCAGCACATTGCACTGCAATGGAGGAGAAAAGCAGGTCAGAATTAGCGACGGTTGGAGGAGAGGGAAAGCACAGAGACTCGGAAGGTGGCTATGACATGACATACAGCGTAGCACGTTAAGCAGAACTAAAGCTGCGGCTACTGTTGGTCCAGGGTACGGTATATACAATGATCACATGAACTCGTGTTACTTATATCCATGGTGACCCATGGTGATGCTGGTAGCCATGGTGATGCTGGTTTCCATGGCGATGGAGTGGCGTAAACAGGTCACTGGCTCAGTTGGATGGCTCGGTCGAACTGCAGGCAACAACAGAAGTACAGTACATGGCACAAGGACAACATTGGAAATTGGTCCTGCGAACTACCATGGACTAAATTGTCAACCGGACAATCTCCCTTTCATTGGAGTTGGACTACATTATCCACTAACTAGCTTTTTATGCTTTACAGTACGCCCTGACCACAACCACCTGTATAGCCTCACACAGCAATTACCAGCAGTTCTGTACAAAACACATTGCAAATTATGAATATGAACTATGGCCACCAGAAGCACTAGCACCACCACCAGCAGCAGTCGCAACAAGAGAAGCAGCAGCAGCAGCACTAGCAGCAACAACAACAGCAGCAGCAGCAGCAGAATGGAGCCAGTACTCACCCCAGCAGCAACTTGATGTCACAGACACGAAAGGGGCACACGTCACGCACCAGCTCGATCATGTGATCTGTGCATGGTGGACTGTTACGCTTACGCATCCAGTAGCTGAGGATGGCCTTCGCATCACGATGATCAGGCGCTTGCTGGCGACGGCTGCGGCATGCGTCTGTGATGACCTTCTCAAATTTATTCCCGTCTCCAGTCACTTCCTCCACAACAGCACAGGCCAGGTCATCTAAACAATCAACAGTGGACGTCGCAATGCCATAGTAACAACATTTCTTCATAGCACCATGGCAACTGTATTTCTTCATAACACCATAGCAACACAATCACTGCGCCATGTTAGCACTATGGCATTTTTCAGACATGCAACTTTAGGCCGCAACCACACACTACGTAAAAATCACAGTACAAATGTTCGTGCATATCTCACAAGTCGGTACGCAAACACATTCCACTTTTCGGCCTGCATAGATGACGTTTTCACGCGGCCAGCATGTGAAGTTGTCGTACCAAAGCGTGTGCCATGTGCTGTAAAAGACCAGGAATTCAAAAACAATAATTGTATGCTGATACTGATGCTATACCGTACGACGACCAGGTAGAAAAAAGGTTGTACAATGGAGATGGAGCGCAAATACGACAAAAACGACAAACGTGGCTTTCTACAGGAGTGCGCCGGTTTCTGAAAACCTACAAAGCCCATATTGCATTTCGCCGCCGCCGCCATGACGATTTCTACTGTAATGCCGGAAAAAGGGAAAGTACGATCAGGCAACAATTAAAGGGGAAGTTCACCCCAACATGAAAACTTGTAGCGAAGAATGCACTGATTCCAATGGTGAAGGTCCCAGGTTGATCGGAGCAGCCGTTCCTGCTTTATAACAGCTTGAATTTCTCACTAGATTTTGTGACATCATGATGACGTCCTTAACTTGCCCAGACTAGGCCGGATGTATAACGTCAGAGTGATAGACTTTGTACAGTGTATGCGAGTAGAAGGGAAAACACCAATTTATTTCTTGTTTCTTTACAACAAAATTCTTACCAGAATTTTTCCAGTCGGGATACCGGTAGGGTGCCGGATGTCCCATACCGAAGTTTGAAAACTAGTCTGGGCAAGTTAATGACGTCAGCATGATGTCATTGAGTTAAGTGAAAACTTCAAGTTGTTTCAACTCGGGAACGGCTGCTCCGATCAACCTGGGATCTTCACCATTGGAATCAGTGCATTTTAGCTACAGGTTGTCAAGTTTTCATTTTAGGGTGACCTACCCCCTTAAATGCTCCCCCCCCCCCATACTCACCTCGCTCTTCCTCGCTGAAGATTGCGTTCAGTTGGCGGCAGAGACTCTCTTGGTCACGGATTTCCTCCAACATTCTCCTGCACAAAAAAAGACAATCCAGCAGCAGGAAATATAAAGACAATCCAGCAGCAGGAAATATAAACATGCACTGGGAGCCACGTTTATACTGCACGCCAAGATTCTAAGAATAATCTTGAGACAGCGCACCAAATTGGCACTGATTGTTCCGGCACTGTGCAAGACCAGGTGAAGCGTGAAGAACGACGAGATTGAAGTCCAGTTACGGCTCCGAGTGCTATCCAGCGATCTCTAAATGTAAGCAAGGGACAGTGACAGTTACGCATCCCTGGCCACATAAGTGTTATCATGTGGAAGGAAGAATACAGATACTATCTAATGTAGGTAACAAGAGACCTGATGGTGCCAGCAATGAATAGTGTAATACATAGCAATACATAGTGGTTTGTGTAGGAGTAAGTCTGTCTACTACACACGGTGTAAGACCAGGCGAAGTGTGAAGAGCGACCTGCACTAGGCCGTTACACTCGTCACACGCCGGCGACCAAACAAGAATCGGATAGCACCCGCTCGAGGAAAGATAACCAACCCGGCGAGACCGAGATAAACCTATGCGGGCCGGACAACCAGGCGGCCCGGTGTGGTCGCTGCATCCAGCATCGTAAGTCCGCGGAGATGCTCTGAACACCTGTTTGCCCATTTGTCGGTGTAGCTTGATCTAAGACTTGTAGTAGTCACAACAATGTTCAGGGGGGGGGGGGGGGAAGGAGGGAGGTGTACAATGTTCAAGGGGGGGGGGGGGAAGGAGGGAGGTGTACAATGGAGAATGTCACACTGCACACAAAAGGCACACTGCGCAATGAAAAAAAGTTCACGGTTTGCACGAGACTCGGTTAGACTGAGTTTTCTGCATCTGTAGGAACACTGTGACTCTCAAGGATCAAGGCGTGCAACTCCGGACACCATGAGGAAATCAAAAGAGACCTTGACCCGCATGGAGCGTGTTGTACAGACAGGGGGAGTGCAAGTCTGAAGCTATACGCATGCAATGGCTGCAACTCACCCGGACTCTGTTACCGTTGCCCCTGGTATGAACTGAAGCGCGGACACCTGCGGACGAGACACTCCAGCTGCACTCACTGCACTCACTGCACTCACTGCACCTTGTAACGGCAAAGACAAGTCCAAATGCAGGAAACACAAATCCACAATAGGGCTTGAAAGTGATGACGTAAAAAACGGCCAGGGAATAGTAAGTTGACATCAGATTTCTATTTTGGATCCACTAAGGTGTGACTTTGCTATTGCCTCAGTATGTGGGTGCATAGCAACCCACTCATGTCGTGTGCAGGGGTGACTTTTACTTCGCCACCAGTTGTAACCCCTCCCCCAGTAGCCAAATCAGTCAGTTTCACTGGCTACATCGACTTGCTGTGAGTAAGACGGATTGAAATGTGCTTGGATCCATACAAAAACTGGATCCAAGTGGATCCAGTTGTTGAATTTTTGAAATTGTTGCTATGCTGTGACGTAGCACTTTCAAGCCATATTGCGTCAAACCCTGGCATCAAGACTATCCCTGGGCTAGCAAAGACATCTAAATTCCACAAACTTCTCCCACCTCGCCCACCTCACCGGCTGCATCACACACTATGGGTTATTCTATTGCAGTGCAGCAGCTACAGTTCTGCCAAAACTCATTAGCCACCCACCACGTGCATTGGCAACAGCACAAGTATAACTTATGTTCACAATAGCACCTTAAAATTGCAGTAGTCCCCCTCCCCCAACCCCTACGCCACACATGATTCATGCAAACACCTGCATGCAAGAAACGCATACACAAATATTATACATGCTATATACTGCAGTAGAAAATGCTTACTGGTCATGGCAGCAGTGCTGTCAGTATCAGACGACACTAGCGCTTGCAGCTCCGCCCGCACATTCACAAAGTTGCGGCCAAGCTCATCAAGGACCTTCAGGAACAGCTTGAATGTCCCACGCCCGCCTGCAGAAGCTTCCTGCAGCAATTTTTCATTGTGATCAGCACGAACACGGACATCCATCAGGCGGCGTTGAAAACTCGTCATAATCAGCCCGTTTGAGAGCGCCTCAACGCGAGTCTCCTCTGGTGGAAGATTCTCGACAAACCACTTATGGTGCCTCTTGTAGCGAATATCACACCATGGATTGTCTGGCAAGTCGAGAAAAAATGACACACAGTAAAGTGAGGATCAAATTAACACATTGTGCATTAATTTTTAGAAACGAACATGTTTTTTCACGGTTCGCGTGAGACTCGGTTTCTCTATTATAGAGGCCGAGTTTTCCGCATCCGTAGGAACGCCACCACCCTTCAAGGATCAAGGCGCAGATGCAGCTCCTAAAGCGGTGGGAGGTGAGTAGATCAGCTCACCAGTATGTGGTCAAAGACCGAAAATCCCATTCACTGCATCCATGTTTTCCTCGTGCCAGGCCACGAGTTCCCAATTAACTGTGGATCGCAGCACGGCTGGAAAAAATACTTCCGCTTCTAAGCAGGACTTGAACCTGGTACCCTCTGTTTCTCAATCATGGTCTTAGACCATCCCACAAAGCAGAAATTCAGTGAAAGCACCATCAAGGCTTCAATAGCTGTGGAAATCACCAAAGCAAACAGCAACCAAAATGCACACACCTATTGTATGAGCAAATTGCAGGAGAGTCTCCATTACATCCTATCCAAGTTATCGACCAATCATTTGTTTCACTCACCATCATCATCCAATCCAGCAGCGTCGTCAACAACTAAGCGACACAAGTCATCAACATTGCACTCCAGGTAGAGCGGCTGATAAACACCATCAACACACCAAAGAAAAAGAAAGGAACGTGCACTTGATCTTCTAAGTGATTAAATTCAACCTTCAGCATATGCACTCTCTCGCCCACCTCATTCACACCCCAGCAATGAATGGTAAACGGGCTGAAACCTACTGTTTACCATCCTATTCAGCACTTCAGCAGTACCGTATTTCGCCGATTATAAGTCCCCCCCCCCATTTTCAGGTTTAGGCAATATTGATTTGATATAATTATTATTATAATTGACTTCAGTAGTAAGTCATGCTCGATTGTAAGTCGCAATCCCCCTTTTTACAGTTGAATTTTCGGGTAAAAAGGTAAGTCATATTCGGGGAAATACGGTAGTTCAGTCTATTTCCGTAAACAGAGTCGGTGCCCTGCGTGTCAGTCGTGAGTCAGTCAAGTGTCAAGTCAGGTCGGCGGAAAAACTTCGAGCTCCAGTGTGGAGAGCAACCAACTGGCTTATATTCTCTATACATTGGAAGAATGATCAGGGTGAACGCACATCTTTCTATTGCGATAACAATGTTTACCTTGATCCATCTATCCCACGTTGGCCGGTCGGTATGCGCTTGCCTTAGGCCACAGCGAATTGGTCGGACGTCTTTGCCAATCTCTGCAAAGTGCTGGCACCCGGTGCTCCTGCAGTGCTGCTGGTTATGAAGCTGGCATGGCCTGTCATTGCGGCACAGGCACGCAATGCTGGGATGGAGGCGCAGCAGACGCTGGCCATACAGCTGCTGCAGCTCTGTGGTGGCACTGAGAATGAAGCGAACAACAGACTCGCAGTAATCTATTGTCTTCTCGCGCTTGTCGCTGTCCACTGTGATGCAAATGGCTGTGGAAGAATAGGAGAGCTGAAGCTGAAACTCATTCTGGCACCTCATAGAGACGTTGAGGCCCATACGCAAATCCTTTGTTCGGTGCGGTTGGTATTTCTGCAAGCATCGCACGGTGATTCGGCCAAAATGTGCTTGAGTGATGCTCCTGTCTGGATCTTCGGCCACCAGGTAGAGCGGCGCTGATTCGGACTCTAGCACTTGTGACGGCTTACACTGGGCAAGGGCTGGCACATAATAGACTTTGTACCCTGTACAAAATGGATCATCTTCTCCAGCATCGTAGACTACGCCATGAGACGCTAGCAGTGAAAAGAGACTCCGGCGCTGCTCCTGAGATCGCACCAGACATTCAGTGGCCTTCTCCTGCTGCCATCGGTGAATGGCTAGCGACTCGCACAGGATGCCATCATTTAGCAGCTTGTACTGCTCCTTGAACTCGGCAGCTTGCTTATACGACTTAGGTGCTGGCAAAAGGACAGCCTTGGATGCTGACATCAGCCATGGGGTGCTAGCTAGAACCTTTTTTCTATGGCCAAAAGCTGCGGCTGGTACTCCTTCTGCCATGGCTTGTGGCTGAGATTGTGACGTGGGCGCTGCTGCTGCTGCTGCTGCTGCTGATTGTAGTGGTGCTGCTCGTGGTGTGGATTCTGATGATTCTTGTGCTGCTCCAACAGGTGGCATACTAGCTGTAGCCGATGGAAAGTGCCTACCCTCATCATCAAAGACAATGAGATAGCCAAGCGACTGGTTCAAGCTCAAGAGACGAGGCACATCCACGTCAGTATCACCAAATGCATCCTGAGCGATGGTGCATACCCTGTCGTAGCTCATGATGAATGATGACGTCTTGTGTGCAATCGCCTCCAGTACCTCTGGGAATGGCAGCCACAAGATTGGCAACTTCTCTCTGCGACGGGATTTGATGACGCAGGCTAACTGTTCACGCAACTCTGCAACTCCTTGGTCAACCTTTGACCCAGACAGAGTGTTGTTAACAAAGATGATCGGATGAAGGCCGTCAGTATACTTCTTGCCGAGCGTCAGTTGTTGCAGTTGTTTCCTTCGTTTGCGAACATCTTCTTTCGACATACGATCCAGGTGTGTGCCAATGAGGAAAATCGGCGCTGTGGAGTTGTCGGTAAGTGCTTCGCGGGCTGTACATAGCCACGAGTCGATGACATCAAAGTAGGTAGAGGTGGGTTGGTTGATGTTGAGCTGATTGTCATCGCCATCTTCATCAGTCAGGATATCTGCATACGGTGTATCCGGTTTGATGCTGGCATCGAAGACGACGCAGTACGTGGTGCGTTCGGGTGAAAACACAAGGTCGTGTAACGCGTGGAATGGCATCTGCCCTGCCAAATCCCACACGTCAACAAACAGTGTGTTCTCACCCAAACCAGAAGTCTGTTCCAACCGCTTGAAATACGTGCCGCTCAGTACCTCCCAAACTGCATCAGCTGCTCCAGCTGCCAGACGCCGGAAGGCGTTTGTACCGCTGACATCACCTTGACGAGAGTCAGCTCCAGTACCGATAATTTTGTCGACGATTGAGGCAGACAACAGGGCTAGGTGATCTGACGCATTCGTTGGCTCCAACTGGTACACTCCTCTTTCGCTCTTATCCAGGGTGAAGGTAAGCTTTTCCATGTCTATGCCAAGTGTACTAGCAGTCTTCGTGAACTTCTTGTCTTGCAGCGACCTCAACACTCCAGTTTTTCCACCGCGACCAGGGCCCATGAGTAGTACTCGCTCGTAGACAATGTCTGCGATGCAGCTTGAGAACACTTCCTTCCTCCTCTGCTCACGTCTGCTTGCTACATTGCATCACAAGAACAAAAAGCACATCCACTTCTCATGCACTTGAGAGAGACGACTAGCCAGGAACTACATGACTGTACCACAATTACAGAAATATTTTTGAAACTGTAGTATTGAAATGACGAATGTAAACGCGCTCATCAGCAGTCACGGTGCAACAGCCGAGTTGCGAATCAAACGTTTTCATGTGGCATTCATCATGAATCAGTTACCACAGTGAGGTGCCGGTAAAATCAGAATCAGAATATTAACCGTATTTTCCAGGTACGTATTTTAAAAGTGAGTTCCACTGTATATTCCAATATATATTCGCCTCTGCGTCTGCTGCTGCTCATGGATTGCGCATGGTCTTTTGTTCTACATGTATTGTCGTTCTTGCAACGCATTCTTTCATAACTCTCCTTCTTTACAACTTCAAGAACTGTTGTTCTGTATGTGAGAGTTGGGGAGCAGCGGAAGAGCACTATCGTCGGGAGTGAATGATAGGATTCGAATAGAACTCTGAGCACAAAAGTTGCCCTTTCCCGCAGTAATAATAGCGTTAGAAAGTTTTGTTTTTTCACGGCTGAGCGTAGCAAAACCACACACCACAGACAAGCAGAAATCATTATTCATTCGAAGATTATTGACTAAAGCAAAATAGTTGTCACCTTGACCTGAGTGTCATCGTAGCCCCCTTTTCGTCTTTGCTACATGTATGCTCTAGGGGTTCGTTCGCCTCTGGGTGCTCGCTGTGCATGGATTGCATGTGAACTTTTGTACTACATGTATTTTCGTTCTTGCAAAATCTTCTTCTTGAACTCTCCTTCCTTGTAACATCAAGAACTGTTGCTCGGTGTGTGGGGGTTGGGAACAGTGGCAGAGCCCCATCGTCAGGAGTGGATGATAGTTTTTGGAGCAAAACACTGACTACAAAAGTTGCATTTTCCAACAGCAATAAGAGAACTGGAAAACACGAGAAGAGTGAGTTGATCATACAGAGGTTAACAAACAGATGAAAAATCACACCACAGACAAGCAGAAAATCACCATTCATAGGAACGCTATTGACTTAGGCAAAACTGCTGTCAATTTGACCTCTGTGTCCTCAGGGTCCCCTTTTCATCATCGCTATGGTCGCTGGATTTGCCTCTGCTTGCGCCGCTGTGCATAGTTTGCGCGTGGGCTTTTGTACTAGGCCACCCCCATTAATTTGTTGTTTCGGGTCACTTCACCCATCAGTACCAGGGTCGGTTGGTTGGCTCTTTATTTATATAATTTTTCCCATGCGTAATGTACATGCGCAATGAATTGTAATTTCACGACTGTAGATCTACATTAGTACAGTCGTGGACATGTATGTAGATTGTGCATGTCGAGTATCAAAGCCTTTGCCCGTCAAGTCAGTCGATCAAATCTGACTATAGACAATCCAGAACTGTCATCTTACCGCTCCGTCATCTTGGCCTCGGTGGCAAACGAGTCTTACGAGCAGCTCTCACTAAAACTTCTACCAATGAGCGACGAGGTGGCAAAGCTGGTACTGTTTCAAGACTTTTCTAGGACCGACTGCGAATCGGGGATGATTGAAGAGGGAAATAACGGCAAAACTCCTACTCTCGTCACCAAGCGTTGCGTCCTGTCATTTGGCTGCTTGTGAGGTCGATGTCTGGACCAGTGTTGAAAATCGATCGCGATCAGCGGATCAGGAATGATCTGCTCTAAAATTGCTTCACCAATAATATCAAGAGTACATAACCTCTTCGCAAAATCTCCGCTACCCGTGTCTCACGTAGCTTCAGAATATGTTACGAGAGATAGGAGAGTCTCCAGCAGGCAGCGCATCCATCGTCAGGAAGTGGAAAGAGCAAACGGCATGGTCCTTGGTTGAGGTAAATGCTGAACGTTCGATTTGTCCCTAACAAGATTTCAGCATTTGGTTCGTCACAATTTTTGCTTGCGAGCTAACGTCTCCGCACTCCAGCTTTCTCCTGTCGGCGTCAGGGCCCAGTACACAACGGAGAGGCCTACTAATAAACAGTTCACGGCACTAACAGCATTGAACACAGCACTTCTTTCACTTCGTGAATACAATAAGACAGCTGAAAATGACACAATTCTGCAGTGATCGACCTTCTCTCTCACGGAGCTAAGCAGAATGTGCGTTATCACCTGTAGTCGCCATGGAAACGCAATCAGAAAATCGGCGATATGGCAAGTTTGCAATATCCTACGGCGGCGAGAGATATACCATCGGAACCTATATCAAATTGTCTTTCATCTGAGCCCTACTTGAAAAATCGATGCACTTCCCCTTTAATCGTTTCACCCCTAATGCAGTCCCAATCTGGGAGTTTCGACCGAAAGGACCTACCGTAAACAGAACGCCTTGTCCCGTCCAGCACAGATGCACACACAGATGGCATTGTTTAAAAAACATTAAAAAACATGTTCTACCGTATTTCCGCAAATAAAAGGCCGTCCTCGTATACAACGCCGTCCTCGTATACAAGGCCGGGGCAGGGGGCGATTGAAAAAATAAAAGACCGTCTCCGATTAGAAGACCCGGTCTACTAAATGAGTCTCGAACTTGTGTTAAAAATAGAAGACTGTGCTCAAACTGTGAGTAAAAGTAGAAGACCGTGCTCAAACTGTGTAGAAGAAAATGGAAGAATGGGGGTAAAACTGTGTGGCGAAAAATAGAAGACCGGTGTCAAACTGGGTTGAAAGAATAAAAGACCGTCCTCGAATACAAGACCGTCCTCGATTATAAGGCCGGGTTAGGACGAGGTTGAAAAAATAGTAGACCGGCCTACTATTTGTGGAAATACGGTATTTCGTCCATTGTTGATCTGAACAATGCTGCATCGAAGCGAAATTGAAATATGAGAATGAGTGCAGCCTATGCCTGAGATCCCTGTTCCTTGCCGCTTTTGTGCGCAGGGCACCGGTGGGATCATTTGAATCGCTTGTGTACACAGCCATGTATACATAGTACGTGCAGGCCAAGCGATAAGAAATCATGGTCGTTCTGATGCAATGTCCTGACACTTCTTCAATTGGTCGGACATGCCCGGACATCCCACATGTCTTTGAATGCCGACGTTTTCGAATTTCTCACTCAACGATGAAGGACAGCACGGAATTTCTTCCGTGAAAATGCCCACTCAATATCCAACATAACTATGGTTCTACTTTACTGCTTTTGAAGATCTTCGGCTCCTTGGAAAGCTCTTGATGAGAGAAATAAAATGAGCCCAAACTCGCCAAGAGCACTACTTACTACTTAATGTCCACCACAACGCGCTCCAAATGCGAGTCCAGTTCCAGATCTGAGACGAGTTTGACTGCACCCACGTGCATTGAAATGCCCAAGGATTATTTTTTCGTATCGGATCGATCGGACACTTTTTCCGTTGCACGGATATTTCGCCACGACAACGACCGAAAATGGTCGGAAAATGTCCGATGTCCGACCGTTATTTCTTGCCCTGTACATGCATACAAAAAAAGTTTTACGGTCGGGTGAAAAACGACGGCCGGTCGAGTGACCCGAGACAACAAATTAATTGTGGGTGGTCCTTCATGTATTGTCGTTCTTGCAACGTATTCTTCTTGGACAATAATTCTATAATTCTTTACAAGTTCACAAACTGTTGCTCTGCGTGTGGAGGGTTGGGGAGCAACAGAAGAGCGCTATCACCAGGAGTGAATGATGACAATTTCTGCGCTTTCCCACCGCCATAATGGTGTTGGAGAGCATGTGTCTTTGTGCGTAGCCATGGTGGTCAGGAGTGAGTAGGCACAAATGCAGGCGCAGGCCAAAGATATCCCTCACTTTGCAGCGGCCTATTTTCTGATTACTTTGCCATTGCCAGTCACTGGTTATGTTACTGTGTTGTCCTGCGGTACACTAAACGGGTGGAGTACAAAGCGGTGATAACTGCTATATAGTTAATTTTACAGCACGCAACATCCGCAATGCCTGAATCCGCATTCACAAAGATTATAGCCAGCCGCCCAAGGAGTAACAGAGGGAGCAGCGGAAGAGCGCTATCGTCAGGAGTGAATGCTAGGATTTCGAATAAAACTCTGACTAAAAGAGATGTGATTTCCAACAGCCATAAGAGAGTTGGAAAGCACGTGTCTTTCTGCACAGCCATGACAATCATGGTGGTCCGGAGCGAGTCCGCACAAAGCAGGCCCAGGCCAAAGATATCCCTAACTTTGCAGTGGCCTATTTTCTGATTCCTTAGCCATTGCCAGCCACTGGCTATGTTCCTGTATTCTCCTCTGCTGCACTAAACGGGTGGAGTACAAAGATGTAATAACTGCTATTTCTACCGCACGCAACATCCACAATGCCTGAATCCGCATTCATAAAGATTATAGCCAGGCACCCAAGGAGTAACAGAGCTTTCCAGGTAACGTACAAAAGAAACCATCCATCACTAAATTGACTAGACAGGAAAGATTGTGTGTGCAAAAGCGCTGCTCAAGCACACCATGGACATCCCAGCCGCCACGCACTCTAATAGAAATAACCGATAAGGGATCAATATTGATTTGTGCTAAAGACTGTTTGATGATTATAAACTTACGAGCTGCAGTTGCCATCAAGAACATCCATATTGACGACAAGATAGGAGTGGGTATGCAAAAAGCAGGCGCAGGCCAAAGATACCCTCACTTAGCAGTGGCCTATTTTCTGAATAATTTGCCATTACCAGCCGCTGGCTATGTTACTGTGTCAGGGACGTCAGACATGGTACAATTAATACGATATTGACCGTACTACCTTTTGCCCAAGGTACCCCGTAAATCAATAAAATACAATCTGGGCTCTAAATTTCCAAAACTGTCGGCTCAGCAACCCCTCCCCCACGAGTAAATTTTACTTCCAATGGCTGATCGTACCACACTAAAATACCTTCCGACGCCACTGTGTGTTGTCCTCTGGTGCGCTAAACGGATGTAGCATAAAGGCGCAACTACTGCATCCATAAAGATGTAGCCAGCCACGCAAGGAGTAACAGAGCCTCCTAGGTAATTTACACAACAAAACATCCATCACTAAATTGACCAGCCAGGAAAGACAGTGTGTGCAAAAGTGCTACTCAATGATACCATGAGCACCCCAGCTGCCACGTACACTATAGGCTGTCGAAGTGCCGACGTCACTCTGACTGAAAACTCGTAGTTTCACTTACTGTAAAAGCCATATATATAACAAAGTGCTAGCGAGTTAACAAGGCGAAATCTGTCATTAAAATAGAAATCGTTATACAGAAATCGATACATATACTGTCCTATTGAGCGTTGAGAAGGAGTGAGAATCGTTACCTTTGGTACACGTAAACCAGTCGATATTCGGAAATCGTTATATGCGCCTCCGCGTTAGAATAATGGCTTTTACAGTAGTTACAAGGCCAAATGATGACAAACAAAAGTCGCGTCACCTGCGGCTGTCGTGTTTCCAACGGTCACAGCATCACTTTGACTGGTGCACGCTCGTGCAAGATCGCGAGTTCAAATTTTGTTTTACTTCAAAAGGGGAAGTTCACCCTAAAAATGGAAACTTAACAATCTGTAGCGAAAAGATGCACTGACTCCAATGGTGAAGGCCCCAGGTTGATCGGAGCAGTCGTTCCCGAGTTATACCAGCTTGAAGCTTGCACTAAATTTGGTGACATCATGATGACGTCATAACTTGCCCAGACTAGGCCGGATTTATGACGTCAGAGAGAAAGACTTTGTATGGGAGTAGATAGTCAGAGAGAAAGACTTTGAATGGGAGTAGATGGGGAAATTTCAGTATTTCATCTTTCCTTTTCCTTCCCAAAGAAGTCGGATCCTTTTTATCCTTCGGTATAGGACATATGACACCCTACCGGTATCTCGACTGGAAAAAATCTAGTATGGAATTCATTGTTGAAGAGAAACAAGAAAGAAAAATCAGCGATCGCTGCGATAGAAATAGCAGTCTGAGAGACACCCATGATTGCTTCTTGGCCGGCGACAACATGTAAAGCTGAATGACAGTACAGGCACAGCAGTGGCTAAGCAAAAATCACCTACAGTTTCTCCTTCTCTGCAAAGCAAAATCCACAAACTCGGAGACAATTAGAAGTTTATTCCAAATACATAATCTTGCCCACGCGCGCTCCTATATCAAAATAATGCTGTAGCTGTGTTCACTGCATGTTGCTGCCACTGGAAACACGACAAGCGCAGGTGGCGCGGCTTTCGTTTGTCACCGCATGGCCAAGTAACTAGGGGTTGTCAAGAAGCAGTGACATCAGACTTCGGCGGCCTATTAGAAACAACCAAGAAGGAATCAATATTAGTTTGTGCTAAAGACCTTTTGATGATAATAAACTTACCCCCTGCCGTTTCCGTCAAGAACATCCATATTGACGACAAGAAACGAACAGATCCGTCACAGAAGATGAGAAGAGTGAGTTGATCATACAGCAGTAAACAAACGGTTGGAAAGGTCACACCACAGACAAGTAGAAAATCAATATACAATGGAAGATT